AGTCCTAAGTGCTGGGCCTACAACAGGAGATTTATTGATGGAATGGGGAGAGGGGGAAGAAAAAATGTGTAAGAGAAAGAAGGAAGGCGTCACAAGCAACCTGTTCCCGCTTACCCGCTACTATGTATGTAGCGAGTAAGGCGACCCGGCTGATAGCATCACGGGACGGCCGATGTGGAATGAGTTCGTTTGTGTTTGTGCAGCCCATAGTTGTAGGTGGGTTGGGATACTGTCAGGGTGTCCACACCTAGACAGGAGGACGATTATGGTCCTCAACCAAAGCCTTTGGTTTGAAAGTCTGACAGCGAAGCTGCGGTGTTTGACTGGAAATGCAAGTACGTTACCATTTTTACGGAACACGTGGCACATGTTCCAACCCCCAACATGGAGGACCAGGAGACTGTTCCTCAGAACCCTTTCCATTCACTATCCTTGTAAGAGAAACAAGATGTTGAATGGGAATCCTAAGATGCGGTACAATGGGTTACTGGTTGCGCAAACCGTTGCATCACAATAAGTTCCCGTCTCGCTACTTTTCAGGGTGTTTGCACCCAAGGTTGTTACTTTATCGTGGTGACCGGTCTTCGTTGCCGCAATAATCCTACGGGATGTAGTAACAATCACTTACCGTGAAGGGACTTCGACACAATATTTTCCTTCACTTTGGAGTACACCTTTTGACTCCTGTCATTGCATCGTGCGAGCACATGTATCTATTGGCTTCCCTTCTCGAACAAGTCGACTGATGCAATCCAATTCAATTTACTACAGAGCATCTCAAAGCTCTACGACAAGCAGCTCAACAATATTGAATTGAGTTGGTGAGGTTCCCAGAACTTGATGGGGCTGCGATTCTTCAGGTAGTTTCAGAGTTATAGTATCGTCGACCTATGTACTCTGGTATTCAGAACGGCGCGGGGAGAAATTCTTCTGTGAAATGTCGAATTGGGTAGTATCCAGCCATGAAGCATCTTTTTGAACTGGCGGCTAGGGACAACGTAGGAGAGCATAGACTCAAGCAGGAGATGACCCGAGCTGATAGAAGCCAACTTCCTGGTCCTCTGAAATGACCAAGACCTAACAATCGACCACGACTAACAACTTCGATGGTTCATCTGTCTCGGTAATCCCGCTAGATGATGAATAAACTGATATGAGTATGAACCTGAAATTCAGTGACCACTCAATAAGATCGACAGGTATATACATGATTGGGACATATACCCGGATTAGGGAGTGTCCATCACCTTTGGTAGTTCCCTGTGTAACAAGTCGCAAAGGAAGCGAACCTGAATGTGTTATGTTGTAAACAAAACCCAACTGGAGTTTTACTGAACTAGCTCTAAATCCTGAGCCTGATCAGACTTTTTCATGTTTCAAAGCGGGTGCCAGTCAGGTGGTCGCTCGGCATTTACGCGTGACAGTCAGAGAACCTGTCACCCCAATTTGGTCCCTGGGTAGAGGCCCGACTAACACAATCTCCTGATCTTCCAGGCTTGGGATTTGAACACGTATAATGACTTTCTTCTTAAAAATATGACATTATGACGGTCTTATGTCAACTACCGCTGCATGCTGGCTTGCTCTTTCCGTCAAACACCTTAATCGTCCTCCTGTCTAGGTTTTGGTGCCATGGTCGCGTCACGTCCCACATACAATCATGAGTTACTTTGTGCCACAAGTAAGACAACTGGGGCGAGATGGCCCAAGAAGTTAGAGCGCGAATTTACTGGCCGCAAGGTCCGTGGTTGGAACCTGAACTCTGCCTCTAGATTTCCCCTGCCTAGGCTTGGGCAACCTGACAGTATCTCAGCCCTCGTGCTTCCTTTGGATAGCGTGACAGCTAGACACCGGAAGGGTGTTACAACTGAACGTTTTTTTATTTTTGCATAAAGCACGGCGGGTATGCCAAAGTAGCTACTGCGGACGCCTCCATCCCCTTTTTATATATTCGTCCTTCCCTCCTTATCCCGTAGCCAACGCCATCTCCATGGGTCTATTGTTGAGAATTGGCGGATCCATTTACCACCTGTCACCGTTAGCTAAAATATATACGGTTGGCTCGACCGTCACGACCACATACGCATCGAAATTGTCCTTCAAACCCCGACATTAAGTTCATCTTACAGCCTTCATCGTTGGCACTCTGAAATAAACTGGATATCAGACTATTCTTGCTTGTACTCTGGTTTTGTTTTCTAACGACATGTGCTTCCTATCCGAAATGGGGGTTTGAGACTCAAGTACGGTTGTTGGACTTTTTCTTCTCCCTTGCGGTTGCGAACCGGGTGACTCAGAAGTCGCTGTGGCTGATTCCGCCGGAGCTGGCGTTGTTCTAGGCTACCGAGCTGCAAGGCTTCTGTTTGAATGGTAACCCGTTGATAATTATACCTGTGAGATATATCTGTGAGATAGTTCCGAAAATACCCTGGTAATCGCTGCTTGTTCATTGTAGCTGCGTACTTTCCATCAGACTATAGCTCCCATACACTCATATATTGTCATTACGACGCTTTAAGTGCCTGCCAGGCTAATAGCTCAGGTATTTTTGTGGTTGCTGGAGAAATGAATACGCGTGTTGGTAGACTGTGTGTTGCTGAGGCTCAGTTGAGTGGTAGTCTTCAATTGGAATCGAGACTCAAGGACAATGACAAACGCTTGCTGCAGTTATCTACCGACAACAGACTTGCTGTGCCATGCTAGCTTCCGTATCAACGGAAGCCGCTTGGTCACATACTTGGTCCCACATGCGAGCCAACCGCCAATACAAACCACATCACCATTAGCTATAAGCGGGCTCCATTACCGATTTTGCTCCTTCTGTAACACGCATATGGATTCGGACAATGTGCTTGTTCTTTGCTGCTTCTGGTTGCGGTTTTCACGGGCGGGCAAGATTCACACACCTGGCCTGGCTATTGAGAAGCTCTTGGACCCTGATGTGACCTACCGAAACCACCTACTATAGTCATTTTCGAGCAAGGCATCTGATGTTGTTTCTTACTGGAAGGTACCGTTTGCAACCCTGTGAGATAATTGGCTATCCTCTTAGGGAACGGCGCAACCGACGGGATATAGGCACTTGATCTCGAGTAAAATTAAATTTGCTCGTAGTTTGAACGTCTATCCTTCCTGGTCGAGTTTGACGAACTGTCGAACTTCACGTGAAAGAGGACATCTGCGTGATTTGAGAGGCTTGACAGATCCAGAAAACAGAAGAGATGGAGGAGCTGGGAAACTCCGGTAATGTGCGTAAACTGTTTCAGCTGATGAGCGCAACAGGCCCAAAGAAACCTCTGGCAAGTGAAACGATAATCAATGATAACTGCTTCCTTATTTTTAAAAATAAGAGTGCTTGAGTTGTTGAGACGAACACTTTCACGAGCAATTCAACTGACTACATGCGGTTACTAAGTTGGATTTTTAACCAGCAACGCGTTCTTGGACAGTGAACTCGGAACCACCGACGGTGTCGGTATGAAGTGAATGACTTTTGTTCCTCACGCATTACCGAGCTGGTCGTCTTGGCGAACTCCCATCCACCCCGTCCCACGATGGAGATGAAATCCGTCCCCACCTGAGGGAGATACCGTCCCAGTTCAATGAGGGTGAGCCGATAGTGGTGCCCAGTTTCAAGAGGGTGTTCGCAGTGAGTGTGACAGTCACAATCACGCTTGACTCCTGTTGTAACCAGACTTTGCGTCACATGTTTTATGTCGTGAAGACGGGACCCGAGAACCGTAATCAGGGTTCCGGCCGGGAAGTGGGTGTTTGGTCCACACCTTCATACTTCGTCGTGTTGGCATGCGTCTAGGAACCCTACAATAGTACGTTGGATACTGTCGATGGGTTCATTCTTTCCACGTTTTCACGACACCGTCTCAGAAGTTCTTTAGTGTCGTGTGCTGTTTTCATTCTGATACTTGTGTTCGTGTGGGAGTGTACGAGTAGCCTACCAACAGCTCTCCTACAATTAGTGGGTGTTTGCCCCTTCCGTAATTGCTAAATATTGTCATGGGGGGCGCAATTGGACGAATACTGAAAGACTCCAAAACGCCAGTGTTTATGTCACTGCTTGCGATAACTATGTAGACTTGAAGTGGTTGACATTCTTCTCATTTTCTGGAAAAGAGCTGGGAGCGCAAGCAATGCTAGGAAGACCAACCAAGGTCCTTCCTCCTTCGGCATGTGCCTCACGCCTACAAAGTGTAAAATCTTGCTGTGATATGTAGTGGTTGAACATACCCCAAAGTATTCAAGGGGTTGCACTGTAATTTGTAGAACGGTATACGTGTTTTAGAGTTGCATTAGCTCTGTTGGAAGAATGACAGTGAACTAACGAATATCCAAGACCAGAATTGCGTTTGCTAATCTGATCCTTTTACGGCATCAAAAAGGCATCTCTTGGTCTCACAGCACGCGTGTATGGAACGAAATTGCGGGCTGTATTGTTGTACAGCTGAGTTGTCGTCAATTGGGGAGGAAGATATGAAACACCTTCAGGTCTTTGATCACCGAAGTTTGAGAACCAAAGCTGGAATTGGCTGGATTCAGCGAATTCTGAATCAGGTGATCAGGAAACGGATATTTGATGAAACAGAAAGCACTTCCTTCAAAGAATGCATCCAGCGCTGCAAGCTAAGGTAGCCAGGACTTGCGTTTCGAACGTCAAGTTTCTGCCTGCTGAGAAGACAGGTATTTTTTATGTACCCGCTTCAGAGTAACGGAAACCTGAAGGTGGAGAGAATTAGACATGACGAGGAAACAAAGGGTGTCACGAAAAGTCTGGGTGTTGATGTTGCTGTTCCTCTTCCAGGTGTAGTCTACATGACCTTCACTGTGCTTATTTAGAGACACTGAACGAAATGGCTGCTGACCGCTTTTGATTTCTGTCCAGATTATCTGACTGATTTTTGGAGGCCTCAGTGCTACTCGCCTTCCACAATGGGGACCGCGTGACCCCCACTGCGCCTGACTGGAGACACTGCAATATATGGCTGCTAACTGATTTCAGTAGCGTTCTTTTCGTTAGTTTCTACAAAGACTGCCTGAATGAGTGTTTGGAGGTGTATGCACCACAAAATAATTGTAGTAAGGTAGCACCATGCCCCTTCCCCGTCCACATTTGTTCTTTTCTTCACAATAAATCTTTCAAATAGATCATAGTTGTAGCATCGGTTTTGAACGCTGATGTCATGCTGTCGATGATGACAATGATGATGGTGGAGGTGTGTTTATTATAGGTTAGCGCTAGTCCTACTGTGTTGAATCTCTGCCCATTGCATGGCTTTACTCAGGTAAACTGACATAGTTGTATAGCACCGAAGCCCCAGTGTTTTCATCTGGTGTTACTGTCAGTGATGATGTTGATGAGTCTGGTCTCTCGACCGTTTCGTGTAACGTGCCAATGGTCACGAGTGGCTGTTTGATAATCCGGGTGTGCGATTTCCTGGCCGACTTTTCCTTACCCACTAGATTACTGCAGAACTCAGGCGCAGTTGATATGACAGGGTGCCAACCATAAAAAACCAAAGAGGTGAGATCAAAAAGCCTATTGATCTGTCACTCAATAGTGTGTTCTTGGGGACTGAACTTTGTGGCACTGGTGAGTGAGCAGTGCCTTTTGTGAACAAACAGTAACCACCATCCAGTCCCGTTGCCATGTCATCCGAGAACGTCTGACCGCACCGGCTTGCCTCTGTTGAAGTCTCTGAGGCTGTGGCTTTTTATCACTGCTACGGGAACTCATGAACTCAGGTCTGGGACTTTCCCTTGTCGTTTGCTGTTGAATTTAATGTTTGATGATGAGCGCTTCGACCAGTCACTCAGGAGCAGAAAGACAAGGCTTAGATAAATTGTACAACATTCTGAACCAAACTGTTCCATGATACGTCTGATAACGTAAAACGAATCAGATGATCTCCTTTTTCTCTGTTCGGCAGCCATTAAGATGCATGTTAAACCAATCCTATGGTTGTTTTTTGATCAACGAACTATGATTCGCCAGGAGATGTAACATCGATTTTTTCCACAATCTCGACAACCCCCTAGTAGGATGATGTATTAGCGTAGGCCACCAGTGTTCGAACGTCTAGTGGGACAAAAACGTTTTTTTCTCTTGGGGCAGAGATGAGGATGTTCATCATGGCGGATATAATGTTGCTGCTGGGTCCAGAACGTTCAGCTGTGAGACTTACCTGAGTCTTGAAATATTTATTATTAGTATTGTACTGTCAATATTTCCATTACTTATTATTGTTGTTGATGTCCTCCAACCACGGCTCGCCTCCTTAGCTTCAGATAGGGTCTGATACTGACGCGGTTGTGACTTAATCTTAGGGCTTTCTCTTGAATTCCTCCTCACGTAGCTGGACAACCGATTGCAATCACAAACTCATAGAATGTTGTTTCAGCTGAGGTTGAGGTCTGATCCTTCAATGACGGGCGAGACTCGTACTAGAACTCATCAATATGCAGCGCACTCCAGACAGTGCACATGATGGCGCTTAGAATTGGATGTTGGCAGAAGGCCGTCTGTCGCCGTGTTTAAAGAATGAACTTTTGCCACAACACCGTAATACTCATGCGTGAACAAAACAACCAACTCACGACTGACTGACAGTGTCCCGTTTGAGATAAATCGAACTAAACTAAGTTTCAGTGATACAAAATAAATCAAGACCGGATAAGTAGAATTCAGTTTGTCTGGGAATGCGTCCCATCAATTCGTAATGTTATAATACCCTGATTTAACGGGTGGCTCCGCGGAATCGTGGATCATTCGTCGAGCAGATCGACTTAGTGTTTAACATCAAAGTGGGACATAAAATAATAAAATAATCGTTCAACCGTAATACTCCTCTGATGTCTAGTTGCCGTGCCACCTGAAGGAATCTGCTGGGTTGCCCAATACCAGACAGAAACAGAGATGTAGAGGTTGGGTTCGAACCACGGATCTTCCGGTCAGTAAATTCGTTCTGAGCCATCTCGATATATCAGAAAATTAGTTTTGAGTAAGCTGTTCATCATTGTCAAGTGTGATGAACTGTCAAAACCGAAGAATATACTAAGAAATCATAAAGTGTGGACTTATAAGACCGTAGTTAGGCTGTGCACTTGTAGCCTGTTCCCGGAACTAGAGGAGGAAACACTAGCGATTTCACCTGGTTCAGTAATTTTTCTTTCCTACTGCTACTTTTATCACTTAATGACTTTGTTGGGAAACAGCTTACCCATCGTTGTTAGGTGCTGGCTTTGTTTTGGAGTGGACTCCTAGTTAAGCAATACCTCGAATTTGAAGAGAGTTTAAATGCTTCCGAACGATGTTTTGTGCGTTGCAGTTCAGCATACTAGCTTTCCTTTTTAGCTGTCACTATGGGGACTGAAAATCAAGTGAAATCCACGTATCCTCTTCACTATTATGCTTGGAACAACAATTACAGTGGTTTGGAGGAGCTGCTTCAGCAAAAGAAGGTATGGGTTTGCATTTTATGACCTGTTATTTCCACTATTAGTACGACATTGAAATGCTGGATCCACACGGGCGCACGCCGCTGATGCTTGCAGTTGTTTTAGACCACTTGGAAGCTGCCAGGGTGCTGCTGCGTCATGGGGCCAATGCATCGTTTGTCTCGAAGTTCTACTGGTCCGGTAAGTTGTGCAAGTTGTAAATCGGAAACTTTGTTCACAATTTGTAGCCCGAAATAGGTAATATAATGAAAACTTGAAACGTATCGAATAGTTTTCAGCAGCCTTATGAGTAGTACGTTCCATCCAGAAATGCTTTCAAGTCAAATGGTGAGATGACGGGAAACGACTGACTCAGATACACTAAAATATCCATGGGAACATACATACAGGGACACGACAATTTCGAATACAGTTGGGTAGAGTGTTCTGTTGAGTTGTGCGACGACAGTATTAGCAAAACTGAATACTCCACTGACGCTGTGGCCGCCGAAGATGAGCAGACGCGTCTGCCATGTACTCGCGCAGATGGATGATTCGTCATGTCAGATGCGCTTGGCTTCCTATTTTTCGTGTATTTTGACAAAACCAGTCGTGGTAACGCTCATTCGTTTCCTGCTTTTACTGAATCCAATCACTGAATCGCTGTGTACTTGCATTCACATTCGTACGCTGCCAAACAACTAGTTTTAAATTAATAGTCAGTGTGTTACCAAAAGTGGTGTGTTATAAACGGAAATGCAGACCTAATCTGATGTTCTGGCAAACAAGGAGTATATTATTAGGTTTTAACGACCGTCTTAGCCTGTGATGCTATGTCCGGGGGCCTACTTCAAAAATACACGCCGTCCAACTTGGGGGGGGGGCTTTTAGTATGTCTTCAGTAATGTAATTTAATAGAGTGTCATCGTTTTTGCGAAGGTTCTCTTGTCGCGCGTACTCTCAACCCATGTGTGCAATGAAAAACCGTGGTAAAAACCGCTTGGTTATGTGAAGTCGAGTAAATTCCTGAAGAAATACAGTGCACAGCTTTAGAGTAAATATTAACATTTTATGGCTACCCTAATGTCTATGAGTTGCCGAAACTGCTGCGATTAACGCTGAAACCAAAGCGTTCCGGCCAGGAGGGTGGGATTTGATTTATCTAAGTTTTATGTTTCCGTTTTGCTTTAGATAATACTTTAGAGGCATTATTTTTTGTAAACTTGGTAAATTGGAAGCCAAATAGCAGAGATTGTTTCATAATACCCAGAGATCGTTTGAAAAAAAACGACTTTGGATACTGATGTTAAATGACTTGTCGAATGCTTATCAAAGCCGTTAATAATGAAAAAAAGGTGCACAATCTCTTCAGCCACAGTCGGCTTTTCCATTTTCCGGGAATCTTAAAAGAAAAAATCTGTTAACATTCGTGCTGTAGTAGTAGTTGCTGCAGCTGGGGTTTTTAAATAATCTATCATGTTTTGGACAGTAGGGTCCCCCCAGATGTGGTGTATTAGGTAAACTGCCATTTTTTCAACAACTGACAAGCAAATCTGACAACAGAACTGAGCGCCTCTCATTGGTCATTTGTCTTCACAAGTGGCTCCCTATACTAACAAGAGGATATTTACCAGAAAGCATAGCTTAGTAATCTTCATTCCTGGGTCTAAATCTTGCAAACGAGCCCTCTAGCATTCTCGCCTTCGATCCTTTTTCATAAAATAAACGCGTTTCCTGTTTTTGCTACCTCCAGTCTGAGTCTCGATTTAGAAAATGCTCATAAGTGAAACACAGCATTCTTCAATTTAAGGATATATTTAGCGAACATACCCAATCACTGATCGTCAAAAGTATCATTCAAGTCATCGGTATATGTAGTAAAACGGGAATTCGTCTCCCTTTTTACGGGGCGTTGAGGGTTCTAATAAAGCTGCTGTTTAATAGATTGCATTTCTTCCCTAAGGTTTTTTGACACTGTAAGCACCACTCACTGGCTTATGACGTGTGTTCATTTTCGTGTGGTCATACTTCAAGGTATTATTAAATTTTCCAAACTTTGCTTCAATTTTCACGTTTTTACTGCTTGCTCGTTCGGCCAGACTACCCATTAAAAATACTGAAGATATTATTTCGCCCCACAAAAGGATTATGTCTGCATATGTAATATGCCTCAGAACGGTAATATACCTTCTTTGAGTCATGTGGTCCATGCCTCTTAAGTATACACCCTGGCAATTAAATAGTCTCATTACAACACTACATTTCGCATATTTCCCTTCGTTATGATCCTCATTTTAGCTCATAAATGTCATGTTCTGCACTTTGAGTACTCCCTCCAATAGCAAAAGCATATAGGAACTAACCTGTTTCCTGGCTCAGCGGTCATTTCAGTTTCTTACCTGTCGTGGCTTCACGGCAGTTGTGCGTAAAAGATAGCTTCAGCACACCTTCAGGTCCAGATCATTACGAGCGCAGTCCATCGATGAATTTAGGGCAATGTGCATCATCGACAAATGTATAGCTACAACTAGCATAATGTGATGTGTCCTGGTTTTTGGCTGTTTGTAAACAGTCAGCCACCGTTTACCTGCATAGTGATTGTTTTTCGTGATTGTTGTTCGTCCAAATCTTGTGCTTCACAGTGGCTCAGGAAGCAATCGCCACTGGAGATCCACAACTCGTAAAGCTGGTTCTTGTTCATCGAGATGCTCAAATTGTGCGCCATCAAGCTTTGATAGTGTCGGATTTACTTGGAAAACTGCGCGAAGCACCGGACTTCTACATAGAAATGAAATGGGAGTTCACTAGTTGGTGTAAGTCTTCGGTCTTTGCTCCCCTAAACATGTGTTTCATACACGCTTTATGTCATTCTATACTGTGGTTTTGTGTGATCAGCCAGTGCTAGGCTTGCTGGTTATAACTCTTGATGCGAAATTCGATACAATTCAACGTCATAGAGTCCCTTCGATCCATAACTCGCTGAAGGTCATCGACAGTAGGTCAATTTTTACACTTTTATGGTGAATGGTGACTGGTCTACGGATTTTGAAAACAGACATTACGGTGCCCGAACTTTAATGCCAGCATTGATCAACGCGAACACTTAAATTGGAGTCTACGTGGTTCTCCCGGAATGTTGCGGAAAACCTACAGGACAAAGCGTGCAACCGGTCTTTCTCTGTCTTGTGTGGGGTAAGATCCACTGATGCACCGGATTACGGTAGGTCACAGGGAGACCGTCTCGATGGTTCTGTCCTCGTCGAGTATGATGCTCATTTGTTTGTATTCCAACACTAGTGAAATGTGTGGTTGTCTCGTAAGGGGTCGTACGTCCGCTACTTTCCATGTTTGTACTCGAGTGTGTGTGGCAGTTAGGTAGCTGACAAACATCGGATACGAATTTACCTGTCAACAGCGGTGAGACCGCTGAACGTCAACACGCATTTGTGGACAGGCAGTTTGCATGGGGCTGGTCGTGTTACCTTATATGAATTAGTGGTCTCGGTTTATACTCGTGGGCCTGAGATCGATTGGTAAGCACTCAGGGGTCTGTTGAGAACCGTCACCTGTCAGTTACCTTACGTTCCAGTGTGGAACTGCGTTTTCTCCGATATGTTTTCACACTGAGGGCTTCCAGGGATGGTCAAAAGAGACTGGGTGATTAGGATTTTATCGTTTTGGAGAAAAATTGTAGAAGCATGCGACTTTCCACTAGTAATCGGAATAGACTTATTTAAATAGTTAGAGCCCTACGCCCACTATGTGTCGCTGAGAGACTCAGATGCTCCTGTCCTTAATGATATTCTTCAACCCAGTGTACGGCATAAAAACCTTCACCCCCTACGTGTCAGTTGGAACCGACGCAGTTTTCTTGAAATAATGCCACTCATATGGTTGACGAAATCCCTTCGACAATCCATCACCAGTTTCCATCTTGTTGGGCCTTGTTAACTATGCTTGGTCTCAAAAATTCCTTGCAAGTAGTGCTACGCGAAGAATACTCCGATATTTTGAATATCGCCCTGTTGAATCACGAGGCTGCTTTTGTGCGTCATGTTTGGCTGTGGAATATCATAAACGAGTTAATGGACATATTCTCTTGTTAACATAGGCTTAGTGTGCAAATGAGTGTGTAACTTTGCTTCAGTACTATTTGGTGTTGAATTGGAAAGTGCGGTTGGCACAAACTACACCAACCTGATGTGTCACAAGAATTGCGAGGCCGGTAGTAGGTTGGCAAGACTTCGTCAACGAAAATAAGTGTTGCATCGTGGGTCAGCTACGAACAATGTTGCCGTGAAACATTTTTCCGGGAAATTTCGCCGAAAATTCGACTCGGAGCTGAATAAGGCACACTTTGGGGGCGTTCCCAGTTTACACATATTCCTTGAAGCAGGCTTTTCCCGGGAACGAATTTTGATGTCACTTATTTATGAATTTTCTAAGTCTCGTTTGCGTAAGTTTAAGTTATCCCTATCTTGCCTTTCGTTGTTTTCATTCTGCCGGTATTTAGATAGTAAGGGGCGCCATTTTCCTTTCCATGTATTGATTTGTCGTCAGATCCGTCTAATTATTCTCTTCCTTCCTTCTTTCCTTCTCACGCCTTCAGTACCGCTGGTCTCGCGCATGTGTCCGGGCGATGTGTGTCGTGTCTGGAAATGTGGTCCGAATGTGCGTATCGATACAAATTTGATCGGTTTCAATGGTTCCGCTTCGTGGATTCGAGGCCACCTGAGCTATATTTTCAGGGTTACTGGTAAGCTGTAAACTACCGATCAGCCAGTATGCGGTTTCTCGAACTGGGCGTACGTGTTCGGTCACTACGGAGCCCGTTCGATAGTGACATGGGAATCGCGTCGCTTTAATTCATGAATCTTGTGACACCGGATCAAGGCCTGTTTCCTCGTGTTTTTTCACTTAATTATTGTATGGCATGAAACGATTAAAGCGAAGACATAATAGAGCTACACACAGTTCCCCTTTGTTTCGTTTTCTGGCTGGCTGAGAGTGATAACTGTTTTCGAAAATCCACGGGATAACTGTCTGTTCATCATCCAGAATGGTGAGGATGTGGTGGTAACTACCAACCGAACTTCTGGAATGTTCTTCATGTAATGCAGTACACGAACTTCCAGTGAATCTTATTCTTCTGAGTTGAACACCTCAATGGCATATCGTGACTTAAAAATCCCTTATAATTTAGGCCCCCGTGTTTACTTCAGCCCGATGGTTAGTGTATACATAAGTTGCCAAACCTCCTCCTAGCTCATGAGTTGCCTTCGAATTACTGTGACTAGTGTTGACACCGTATCTCCACGTGGAGACAATATTACGAAATCGCCACAATAAGGATGACTTTATCTTTTTTCGCCATAGACACTTCCCCCCAAGTTGAGCGAACACTTTATCAGATGACGAGAAGCACGGTTTGCTACTCATTAGGGGGTAGTCAACGCTGTACATCCCACAAACTCCACAACCTTAACTTCCGATTTTCATCTCGCACTTACCTACATCATAGCAGTCTCCCCTATCTCTCAATCGCGCCCCTCAGCTTGTACAACCTGAAACTGAAACTTCGAGAGGCGACACCTGGAACGATAAACTTTTTGTTTAGCTGATGAAAACTTTTTATTGGTTAGCTATCGAATGCCAACTGATTGCCTGGATGAGTGGAGGTGTGTGCACCTGAGAATAATTGTAGCCAGCTTCCCCGTCCACTTTTATTGTTTTCTTCAGAATAGGACTTTCAAATAAATGGTGGTTGTACGGCAGCGAGGCATCACTGTTGAACATTGATTTCATGTTATCGATGATGATGATGAAGGATAAGCGGCATCAAGCATACATCATGTCTATACGCTTTTGATTGTCCTCGACTGATTGTTCGACTTTATAGATGTTCAGTGCTGTAGGCTCCGGCAAACCGTGATGTTGATACACGGAGAGGCGAAAGAGGTAGCTGCAACCTAACTGCCACCGGCAATTTCGAATTCTGGTGCCAACCGGTTTACTTTTTGGCACGAGTATTTCATCCCAGCTGGTATTCTTTAGTGAATAATTGCCACCTTGTCGTCCCCCAGTGGGTATTTCTGTTTAATATTACGTTCCTCCGCTATCCTGACGTCTTTTGGTTCACAGTAATTCATCCCTTCCACAGGAATGTCTCATCATCATATATGTACAGATATGCAAAATTCATCATGAGCCACTTGATATCCATCTGTTCCTTGTTCAAAAGAGGACTGAAGGCATGAACGAAACTTTCTAACATTCCAGCCTATCGAAAATTTGAGGGACTTGGTTGCATTCAGTTGAATGTAAAATCAACGTAATTTAGCGCAAACCGTCGGCTTAACGTAACTAACTCGTACCGTCCATCGTCAGATCGTTTAGCAATGTGCATTGGTGGCAGTTTCAGCCACCCATCTGGTTCCAGAGAGTGACACGTGCAGACGTTGATTTTACTGTGGCCTCATAGTGGTCAAGGTGAATTGTTTTCCCCTGATTATTCCGCAAGTAAGAATAGCCCTGCCTCATGTTCACATCAATCAATCGTTTTCGAACTTTATTACCATTGACTTGCCCTGCTTTACTCTTCATTTCGACACACGGCATATGTATGCCAATACGGTTCCTATTTTTTCGTTGGTACCGTATTTCCCGTGTGTTAGTCCAACACAATATCCAGTGTCACTTAACCACACAGCTTTGTCATTTCAACAAGTAGCCTTCAGGTGATGTTCAAAATATTTCCTGGTATTCTGATTCGAATGTTACCCGAAAGGAGGAATATCAGTATTCTCATCTCAGTTACTTGTTTGGCCTCACAAGAACGCGTTTCCTGGTAGGGAATTTTATGTTTTATTCAAAGGTTCACTTAGGTATATGTTAACTCGATCCCAAATCAACCCAGCTTGCCCCTAAATAAGCTCGTTGTCCACTGAAACCTCTACATTTTTCGGGGAGGTTACAAGGGGCTGAGGACTATTGCCTATTACCTTCCGCATGGATTATTGGAAATAGTAGTCTGTATGCGCCCATGTGTAACTGGATTTTTTGTACGCCATTTACTCTTGGCTGGTTCAGTCGGGCGACTTCAGTCAGTGTCACTTGCTCCTGTGTGTCCCGTTTCCTATCGAACATCGTTTCCGTTTATCTACAGGTGTGGTTGTTTCCTATTCAGTCGGTGTGACTGAGTGACATTGGATTGACAGGCAACTGAAAATGTTGAGCTTTCGGCTTGAAGAGCAACAGTTGACAGTGATCAATATCCGAGAGTCATGTGGATATAAGTCTGTGCACATTTTAGCATACGGTGAAGTCTGTTAATACTAACCAGGTGCTAGTCGTCTCATAACTTACCCATACACGTTACACCTTTTGTTCGATAACACGGGGTCTGAGTGGTGTGTTGATTCGGCAATATAGGTTGTGGGACATGTGATCAGATTTCACGGTCAGTGAACATGATCGCCTGATTTGGCGCGACCATCAAACGGCACTTTCTACAACTCCTTCGTTAATCGTTGTTGGTGTGTTCGCTGTGCTTGGCAAGTAGGCTGCAGGCGTTTCATCGCTTTTCAGTGGTGCGTCGGTGGGTATAGGCCATACGCCGAACGACGATACAAGGCACCGATAATGCCAACTCAGCGAAACGCTTGCACGCGTCGCTAAGCTCAGCCAACAGACCGAAAACCATACATATCACCGTACATCGTGGTACGTGGAGTGGATAGCGGATGGTAGGCAAGCGTCAGTATAGCAAGCTCACTTAACTACATTGTTTATTTCCTATTTAGCTTTCTAACCCGGAAAGATTTTCCTGAATTCTTAAAGTTATAATCAAGCTGCCATAACTAGTGACCCAGCGTTAGTTCTTAATGTGTCTCAAGACTCGTGTACTGGGACCGGAAAGTATATCACTTTGTGTTTGTCTGGAGAATAGGATTGGAGTATTTGAGGCCGGCTGTACTAAGTCATGGACAGCGGGATCTGCTGTTCTCAAGAGTGAACAGTACATGGTTTTCTGGCATGACACGATTCAGGACAAGGATATCAAACCTTTCATTCCACGCTCGGATTTTTCAGAAACATCACGAAAGCTACTAGTTTTTCTAGAGAGACCTGTAAGGTACTCGACTGCATAATTTTCACTTCACGGGTGTAGCTACTATTCCTGAAGTTCACGGCGAATCGGAAGACTTTCGGTCATCGTCGGGTCTAACTTCGAAATAGAGTGAATTGGAAGCAAGTCCGGAGCTAATAAAGCTGCTTTCGGCTCGTAGCCAAGTCACAGGTCCCGCCTTTGAAATTTGCTCACCGTCTTTTACGCAGTATCCCACTTCACGTTCGTTATCAGCTAAGCCAGAGTTTACTATATTTTGTGGATACTTCACGATTTATTGAAGTTTTACTGATGGAAATAATTATGTTTAGGTCTGTACCTCCTAAAATCATGACAGTGATGTGAGTGCGAAGATAAATGGTGTTAGATATCCCGATGCTGAACGTGACGTACGCTCACAGAAAGTGTTCATACACAATTAATCAGGTACATTTTTATCAGCGACTCAATTGACCAACCTATTTTCACTTTCTTATCAGAATCCTTCGTATGTTTTGCTTCTCACTGGCTTTCTGATGACAAGTTTCATTGACCTCAGACGAAATTCAAAAATATTGTCGGCTTCCATGAAATAGGCCCACTACATCTACCTTCCACGATCCCCTCGAAACAGTCACAAACGCCTTTTGAGAAACACAATGAGACTTTCTAAGCCAGAAATTTCTAACAGCAAAAATCCGTTCCGGTTTTATTCCGAATCACTTTTAGAGGCCAACTGATCTGCCGATAATACCCGCCAGACTTTTTACATTATCTGCTTCGGTATACACCTGTCTATTTTAACTTCGGAAACTTTCCCTTGGAAAATAATGGGCTATCACGAGCACACGGAATCGCGTATCGCTCTGATGATAGAGCTAGATGTTTGGTTTTAGACACTACTCAGACCCAAAGTAGCATAAGAGGTGTCCCACGCTACTTACCTGAGCATTGGTAACCGTGGTAGCGGTTTTTTCTACGTACTTATAAACCAGACGTAAGCCTCAGGTGTGGTTAGAAGGATGTATCTAATGCGTTTCTTCCCTTATTGAATGACTGAATCACGTGCTTTGCCTCGAGAGGTTATTCGGAGTGTGTCAGGCTACGTTACATAGCTCCATAGTCCTGTCCACCTAACAAGATGTTCGACCTGAAACATGTCCTGAGAGGTAGCACTGAGTGAGGCTTCTTCCATCTTCCATGCCATGTACTGTGCCCTTTTTCCGGTGCCATTCATCAGCGTTTTGCGTTCCACTATGTAGGTTGTTTTTCTGCTAGTCAACCTATCCTTCCTTAGCCTCAGTGTTTTTTGGCGTATTTTTGTGATACGGGTAGGTTTATTTCCTCATCCAAATAGCCCTCATCTACCTACAGTGGTCCTAGGTGCTTGTTCTTTGCTGACGTTAATGAACTGCCTTCCGCCATTGCTCTTAGTAATTTTCTATTTTTCGGAAAGCCCACTTCCTATCTCTTTTGCGTGACAACTTGAAAGGTAGCCTTTAACTCGACAATGCACCGTGTTATCAGCCGCCCAAATGGCAGTATGTGAGCTAGGCGAATTTCCCCCGTTAACTAATCCAACTGCAACCCATTTGTTCAACTTATTGATCAGGACACACCATTTCGCAGTCGACAACGTGTACAATCTATTTCTCGGTACTGCTAATGTTACGAGACCAGATGGATCACGTGCCACTCTCGTGCAACCTGTTACCGAACCATCATGCCGGACAGGCTCACCGATGTTCTGTTCCCATCTTTCCCCTTTGTCTCTGAACACTCATAGAATTCCACGCTTTCTGTCGTGAGACGTCGTGATAGACTTTTTACTGCTCGGTATTCTGTCTAATTACGATAAATTGTTTAGTGGATTGGAGTGTATCCAAATAACGAGTTGGCATTCTGAACCTTGTGCAATTTGGTGTCGTTTGTGTCTTCAAAGGATATCAGAAACACGAACCTAACTCGTGTTTGACGAACTTCAGGATGTGTGCAACTAAAGCCTACTGTTCTTTGTGCGACAATAAATCAGGTCATTACTTTTCTGTGTGCGTTTCGATGTCTGAGACCCTTAACTTGTTTTTTCAAGCTAGTCAAGAGTTCCCATGCCACTTAAGTATTTCATCTCGAAGACTACAGTTCGAATAAACATCCCGGACTACTATATCACTACCGGTCTTCCTTACTCTTCGTGAACTCCGGAAATTTTCATTTCGGTGCATTAGTTACTGTACCTTAGCATCATTGTCATCCTGGATTGCGACACTGGTGTTGAACATAGGTTACTCATAGGCTTACAACCTTACTGATTTAATTGGAGGGAATCATAGTGTTTAAAATCAAAGTGAAGTGTATGGCGCTTCCTTCGTGAGTGATTTCAGAACTTTCAGATGCAGTTTGCTGCGCAGTGACAAAAGTCACTTATTGGGTCAAGGGTAACATACACATAAGGTAAAATTTAGATACACTGTAAAAAAAAATAGGACGATACCTGATGACATCAGTTCGTCAGCTCGTTGTCCTGCACTGGCTGCATACTTCACCTAACTGATAAATTTGAACAATCGTGAAAATGATGGTAATGCTAGCAAATCCAACATCCGGATGAGTCAAGTACACACGGGAACGCACTAACCAAAATACTGGGCTAGGCACAAAGTAGCAAAGGTATTCCCTCAATTTGTCAGTCACTTCATCAACCCCTTCTCATCAGCGGAATATTCACTATCCTACTCCATCCGTTGCCAGTGTCATCTTGGGTTGAAGAAAATAGCATGGGTCCAAAATGCGAAACTCATCGATCATAAGGTTGTTCGTTATGCTTGCACTCATATAAGCCTCGGGTCTTTCAGTACTTAACAAAGTATATTGTGTCTTACATACTGTCTTTACTCTCTTCTTTCAACAAACCACTCGGCTTTCAATAATACAGATCAGATGATAATTTAGACTTAAATGGATACAGGCATATGACGTTTCTATTGTGTGGGCTTTCTATTCGGTATTTATGGGATATCACAGGGGATTGAATGTAGTGGTCACTGTATTTCGATAACTTGTCTCTCTTCTTTCTATTGTCTGGATATTTTGTTTCTCTGAAAAGAACGTCCATCCGTATTTTCTCCAGATAACGAAGCTGTAATGGACGAAGTAAACCACACCGATAGGGTGATCTACCGGCACAACATTGCCCTAACCGGGCGCGCTTCTGATCCGAACGGCACGGGACCTGGAACCGGCGCAGGCGCGGCTGCTGCTGCTGCAGCTCAGCTGTTCGTTCGGGAACCTTCGGATGAAGCAGTTGCCAGCAAACTGACACAACCCATCTTCGTGACCTACCTAGATACGGATAAGATAGAGTTTGAAAAGTAAGTTCCTCCCTCTCATTATTCTAGTAGTTCGAGTCTGAATGACGCATGAAGAAGGTATGCATGTTAATTGTGGACACTTCCTTTGTATCATCGATCACTATGCATAATGCAAGCCACTTGCAGTATAGTTTGGAATAATGCAGTAGACGAAACAAACAAGTTTCTGACCGAGATAGGTCGATTTTTCAGGCTGACTGTTTTTGTTTTTGGGGTCGTAACTGCGCACAGTGTTGGTGGGTTTTGGTTGTTTGTCATTGCCCCACAGCTAATGTGACGTTACTGTCCCAGCTGTCGTTTTGGCTGGTCAGGGGCTTGTACAAGCTTAACGATCGATTGACCAGGTTTTTTAGTTTGGGCGTGATATCCTCTGGCTGGTTCAACTACTGAAGCGCGTTCGCATTACCTTCGATCTATCCTGTCAACGCCTCATGGCAATCTTAGATGGAAGATATGTATAGTAAAAACTTTAACTTTATCATGAGATTCACTCCTTGGGTTGTCTCGTACGTATTACATGTAAGTTAGCAGCCGGATTAGTGCGGCTAAAGTCAACTCGCCTTAACCGAACAGACCACTGCATGCGAAAGAAAACTTTCTGGCTCTCATTCGTATGTCCAGCCCAACATTTGGTGTGCTGTATGCAGTGATAGATTTCTCCCAGTGGTCGTTTGCACAAAGTTCTTACCGAGTCTAAATTTGGCATGCTCCCGGGAGTTTTTATGGCTGACTGAAATAGAGTTGTGCACAGTGATTTACCTTCTAGGGGAAATCAATACACCGGACAGCAACTCCTAAATTCCACCTGTCTTGCACTGTCATCTCTCTGAAGAGAACACTCCATGCGAGTTCGCGCAACCAATAATCAACTGGTCCACCTAGTGAATATTTTAGGTTGTTTAATCACCCAAAACGTTCATTTGTGACCAAATATGGCCTAGGTATACCGCAATCATGTTTTCCACTTAGCGGTTTAGACAACAAAAACTTAAGGGTCATTGATAAGATCCTCTCGGTAGCAACCTCAGTTTGAGTAGATGTATGTAGCTGGTCCAGTTTTATTGGTCCGGCCTAATTCAACGCGGATAGATGTATCAGATAAGTGAGTTGCTCTCATTATCTGTCTGGGTCATCCTGAAAAATACCCTCACTTCTGCCATCTTCGAGTGGAATAACTATCCTTTGGAGCTTTATCTGTTTCGGTAACATTTGTTTATTGTTCCTTACTCTAAGGTAGTGAGCTTTATCCAACTTGCTAACGGCAGATCAGATGCTGCTTTCTTTTAGCAGAGTGGAAGCAACGGAGGGACCCGTTGAGAGTTTTGATATTTGGGACTGCATTCGCTGAGTAACCATGTCACCATAGTTAGGTTAGTACAAAGCCATTAGCTCAGCTGGAGGACATGGGTTTTAAACCTGTAGGTAACAGCATGATCGCAAGAAGTGAACAAATTGATAGTGACTCAGCCGGAGTTAAAATATTAGCAGTTAGCAAATCCACTCAATGGTAAGGAGCGTTCGAATTCGTTTCACTGTGGTAACTCGGGTCGATAGTGAAGTCTTGCAAGGGAGGTTAGTGAACTTCAGAACCGACTAACGAATGAAGCCAAGAACGCTGATTTTATCATTAAAGACTATTCAGATTTATCCATGACCAAGAACACATCTGAATCCATGACTTGCTGCCTTGGTACTCCCCAGGCTTCCCTTAAGAACTGGTGACTGTTCAGATAACCCAGTCTGTGGGTTTGGTCTGATTGTCTGAATAAGCCAACCACTCGTTCAGATCAAGTTTAGTTTCCAACAACAAAGCTCATTTAGGGAAAATTCTCCATACGAGATTGATCCCGGTCGGTCCCACAAGTGTCCTGTCTGAAGGGTAATACCTAATTTTGAAATTCTTCGTCTGGCATCATAAACCCTGTGGATTAATAATCTTAACACGTACACATTACATATATTGTTCGTTAAAGGTCGTACAACCTAGAATCCGGTTCCGTGGATTATGGAATGGATTAATGTTACTGGCGTTTCATCAGAAACCCAGTCGCCAGTTCTGCAGAACTGATGACAACTCACTGCCGGCACTTTTGAAACTTATCATTTTTGTCCGTTAAATGGGTGGGTTACCAGTTTTTGCAGTTGACATACATAGAATTCCACTGTGATAGCAAGATTTTTGCCGTCACTGTGCAGGCTGTGACCTGTCAGTGTACACTGAGATTCACAGCCTGAAAAATCACTGCAATTCACGGTTGATTTCTCTCTAGAAGGGAAATAACAGTGGCTTAGGCTTGCTGGTTGTGGTCCATGGCATAATCAGTGGCGTCTTTTGTCCAAGCTATTATTTTTAGCGTTTTGGTTACCATCTACCCTGCGCTTCAGCAACAACTGCAACTACCACCACTACCAATTTGCTCGCCACTGGGAACTACTACCACCCCGACATTGCTGCCAACCTCTGTGTTGGAAAGCTTGTTCCCGTATTATTTGCTTGACAGAATACTGAAACTTTAAAAAGACTGCATTCGGTATGTCGTTTGTGCAAGCAGTTTTCACGGTTGAAAGTTCCTCACACAACGCGGGTTGTATCTGAGGTGTAGTCACATTGTTTCTACGGGAATCTGACTAATTTTTGGTGCTCATTTGAGTTCTCTTGTTGATTCAGCAGCATTGCGAGAATCACCCCCAGTAGTTGATCAGGACTACTAAGTACCCGCTTGCTAACAATTACTTATACTTGGTAACAACGAATCATGTGCGGAAAAAAGTGGTTTAATGGAAGAGAACCTTCCTTTGTGTAATACCTTCAAATATATTGAAAACTAAATCGTTCGGCTGTAGTACTCTTTCGGTGCCTAGCTGCCATGCCAACGGAAAAGGGCACGAGGGCTGGGATACTGCCAAGTTTTCGAAGCCTAGACGGGAACAGTCGAGAACCACGAACCTTTCGGTCCGTAAGCTGACGCTTTAACTACTAAGCTTACTCGACGTGCGGCATTCATTCCATATTCACCTCATAATTGTCACAGAGAACTGTAGATGCTTTCGTAAATCTGTATTCGAACCCCAAACAATCTTAGTTGCCTCTGTAAACAAAATTGAATTTACGTCACCCATCTGAGGCTGTTCGATCCGCTTTAGTGCTAGGAAACCTGGAAACTGATCAGTTTATCTGACTGTTTGTTTGGATGTGCATTCATTCAAACAGCAACCTTATTTTTATTGATTACCACAGGCCAGTGCGTTGTATTTTTCTTGTCCTCTTCAGGTTACTGACGCTTTCCTCTTTTATTGCCGCATTCCGACTGGTGATAGCGTCATTTCACATCGGCTGCTTTCCAACCTTAAGGACAAACAAATGGGAGTAGCCGAATAGGCCATTTTGTCTCAGACTGTCAACACATTCTAAACTGGATTCGAAGGTCATATCGAACGATTCCTCTCGTATTATCCCGTTGACTTGCTAATTTGAAGGGGCCACAGACTCGGTTGGAGAAAGCTGGCAATTTTTTATCGCAGAAATCGGAAAGTGATTTTCTTTGGTCAACTGTAAAAAATGTCATGGACGGACATCGCGTTTGTTTCAAAATTAATATTTTTGGGGTATCTGAATGGGAGAAGCAGGTGTCATTTTTCCGAAGCACGATTAGGCAGTGCATCACGCTAGTACAAGTGTTTATTCTGTGCTAGTATGACTCGCGCAGCAGATTCTTGACTTCTGCGCATAATTTTCATCTGCATACTGTTCACCCAGATGCGCGATCGAGGCCACACAGTAGCCAATGACGTATATCATGATTGCCTTGTATGAGGTTGCACGTACGATAGGATTCAAATGAGCACCATTCCATGACACAATGAGGTGTGTAGTCTCAATATCCCATGCAAATCACTGAATCCATTCCCTCGGTTCCCTTCACTTCTATTCATCTGTTCACTGAGTGCGGCGTATTTCAAGTCGGATATCGATTGGTTGAGAAACTCAGCTCAACGTCAAATTGTCCAGTCACTTTATGAACGATGCATTTGATGAGAGAATAACAGCTCATCTGCCACTCAGTTTAGAGTCTTTAGAACGCTACGTCCAACGGAACAAGATGGAGTTGCTAGGGCACTCTCTTAGAGTGTTAACACGTGTAATGGCCTTGAGTGACCTAAAAAGTGCTTCACTCCCATATTTGAAACATTGAATGTGCAGCGCATGATTAGGCAGATCGCATTTGGAGTTACTGGTGTGGTGTAGTGATAGTCATTTATAGGGAAAAAGTTGGATCCCCGCAGACAAGCTGACTGGGCTTTTAACTAGTGCGAGTTTAAAAGAAGAGAAATATTGATGTTTGAGATTTACCAGGCTTTCCGTGTTTTCGGGAGCCACTTTTGTCACACGACCAAGTCTTTCTTCTGTACCAAACAAAAAATCCCAACACTGTTACGCACGAGGAATAACAATCTGTTTTAAATGCGAGGGTTTCTTCAGAGTGTGTCTCATTGCTAGGTTCACCCACCTGCATTCTAGGAATAGGCCCCAAAGAAATTATGGCACCTGATAATGGTACGCCTGTGTGGGCCGAACAACACCCTCATTATTGTGGATGAACTGAAGGCACCAGTCCCTGATATATGAATTAACTTGGCAACGAAAATCTCTAGGAAACCGAAGCGCTATCTCTTAAATATTGGGACTAAATAGCTCCGCATATCTTTGAGATGCATTTGTTATCGCGTTTATTGGGGACCAAACGAATGGTGTTTTGCATCCCCTTACTGTGCAACATAATGTTTTCTGAGCCATTGACGTCTGAATTTGACGGCAACCATGTATTTAATGCACATCAGTCCACGGTTAGGGGCGACCAACAGAAATCGAAAGATACTGCGTTGGTAGCGCTTCACACGCAGTCTTTACACATACCATCATCTACGTGACGATACATTCAAGCCGTTGCATTTGTGCGTAGGAGCCCTTGCGTGGCCTTTTTATCTTTCTATTTACGTTCTTCCCATTTCTTCTGCAGAAGCAAGTCTGGTATTTGGGGTTGGCGTACCGATAGAAAGGAAACGGTGAATAATCACAACTGTCAGGTGAGCCCCCATAAAAACTAGATTGGTTCGTTTCTAACGGTTAAACTCTAATCTCTTCCCTCGTAAGCCATGATTCGAATTTCTGTCTAGCCCCCATACTACCTTTTGGCGGGTATCTTCAACGTGGTCTCACTCCCGCTTCTAGGCCCGTAATCATTAAGTCAATGAGTCGATGAATCATCGGTGTACCGTAGCATGCGTGCCCCTGTACTCTGTAGATGATTCACATTCCTCACCTTCCCAAATCCATGCCACACTTCGCCCCAGGTTTACTGTGCATCAAATGTACAGATTGTGACATTGCGCCGTACTGAACACTTGACCGAAGAGAACCTGCGTGATCTTAATCGTCGATCAGAGGAGTCTGGCGGAACAGATCGTACGGCTGCTGGTGGGCCAACTGATATTTTCTTCCCTGGTGCTGGACATGTTAATCCGCTCACTAGTCTACTGCAAACGGCGGCTACTGAGGCCCGAGATAAACCGAATTTGGATGCTTCACATGTAAGTTCATTCACGAATTGTTTTGCATACGTGTGCGGCTGTTTTCGTGTTCACATTTGACCTGGTCTACTGGTTTGTCTAGCCAGTATTTGTGAGAGTTATTTAGGTCAGAAGCTTGTTCATCTTAAGCTCTTTCAGCTGCAACTGAGTTCACTTGTGTGTTTCCTCTGTCAACGCCCATGGCATACTTCCTGGAAACCTTACAGTGCAACCTTGAGTCGAGTACACAGCAACACACACAGATTCACCAATTAGTACCACACGACGACATATTTATGGATTCACGGACTGGTCTTTTATCTGACTTTTCCATTACACCACTGGACAATTTTTCTTTATTCATTGATCTGTATTGTCTCAGTAGAATAGCCATTTATCCTAGTGCTTGTTCAAATAACAGGAGTTGGGCCGTTAGCACTAGAGTTTGTTTTAGTTCACCTTGAGGATAGCCCCACTCTTTCGACGGATTTTTGATTAGTTTTTTGGAGTCCCAACTATCTTGCGCAACACTAAGGTGGTAAAACTACGCCCTTTGTGTGGCATCGAAGCTGCCAATTTCGGTCATGCTTGGGGATTCAACCCACCGCCGCATTAGTTGACGATCTTTCATCCACAACCCGTTGAGTGGGTATTTGCCTTGGATTTTCACTGTTTACGGCCGTGAAACACTGTGAAGCTGAACGTCAGCTAATGTGCTTCACCATCTCATTACTGAATGAGATGTCCCTGGAGAACATTCACTTGATTGAAGTTTACGAGTTGAAGCGCATTGCGCGAGTAAACATGTCTACTCAGTTTGATTTACGTAGTCCCACCACGTTGTGTATGCACACCTAAAACGGTTACTCATAGACGGTGCTCGTGCAACATTGTTCCCATCTTCGAAAAGTTCTTGTGAATTTCGTGCGACACCTGGAACGACCAGCTTTTTCTCTTGCATCTAGTGACATTACTGGACCAATGTATCCGGATGAAATCCTAGAACAACAAGAAGGACTATGTTATAGTTACGGGTTTCGGTTCAATTCGTCGTACAACACCAGAGCACTGATTTATTTGCACACATTCTGAGATTTTTCGGCTTGGGAAGTTACATTGGTTTAGGTCGTGAAACTTGTCCTCTGGAAACCGTCGTCTCTGTGTAACTAAATAGGCTGACACTCCGAGATCGTTGTGTCCCCTCAGAAGATTATATAGAGATCTACGAGTGGGCCCCTTCACTATTACCGGCAAAGAGCAGGGTTAGCCAAGTTTCTCGGTCTCTCTCGTCGTATTTTAACTTCTGTTTGCATGGTAAAACGAACGTAATAATACAGACTACCTGTAAAACAAGTATGTAGACGTGTTAGTTGGAGGGCACATTTTGTAAGGCTAACCACTTGCCTCTAGTATATGATACCGTTCCGGAGATCTTCTTAAGCATCGTTAATCACTTTCTTAGTATCTTTCGATTTTTCGTGTTGTCAAAATGGACAATATTTGGGTCTAGAAGATCCAATCACTACTTTCGTCTTCAAAACGTCTGTAACGGTTTTAGGCTCTCAGCCCGCTTGAACTACTGCTAACTGTGCCACCAAGAGGATTTTTAGCCACAAAGAGAAAAATGTTTGGGTAGGTTGACCTAAAGGTGCACTTCAGAAGTGAGGGGGCGGGTTCGAAAGATAAAGTTATGGCTTATACATAGATATTAACCACTGTTCTACACATTAGTGCCAGTACATACTACTGGACGTTAAAATATCATTTACTGTTTATCCTGCAACCTAGATATTATAGACCCAACGTTGTTCATTAATTAATGCTGTCTGCACAACTCATCCAAACCGGTTTATGCAACCGAAGTAGTTAAGCTGTAACCTTTCGCATCCATTTCCCATTTACCAACAGTGCTTACAGGGATCGATATCAAAGCATGTATTTTAGTATATTTGGCCCGCTTAATTAAAAAGCTTGTAGCCATATAACCCTGGGTCTACTTACGATAAGCGCTTAGGACACCTTAGGTATTGTCCTGCCAAAAAACTCACGGACATCGTTCAGGCTTTTATCCTTAATGAGAATCATCAACAGTGTACATCATCATTCCCTAGAGAGCTTCGAACCCGTAACTTTCCTGATACCGGCTGAACACTACGAATTGCCGATGAGTAATGTGATTGAATTGCATATTCACAAGGACTCCCCTGAGAGGCCGTCGTCATCATCGTCATCCGCGTTAAAAAAGCAGTGCAGCAACCAGGCATTTATGGGGCATGTGAATTGAACTGCTCAGGCAATGAATTTGTGACAGTCGTCTTGTCTAAGTGCAAGGTCATAGCTCTAAGCAACCACCCGTGGCTGGGTAGCAGTGTTAAATTACGGATCCGAATCCTTGTCAGGGTTCGTGAGGTCACGCTTCTGACAATCCATAAAGGTGCTACAGTTGTACATTGCTTCTCATCTCTCCCGTCTGAGTTAAATTTACTTTACGAGATGATGTTTCCCAGTATTTACCAAATAAGCACAATCGATCCTAACAATCTTCCTCACCTAATGCATTGAGTTGGTATACGCTGACTTGTCGAGCATTCTGTGCAGCAGGGCATGCTTACTGCTGTGGGTACCAGAAAACTAGCCACAGCGAACAGATGTCAAATTATCTTCTAGCTGCTTGAAGGCCTCAACATTTTCAGCATAGCTGAATCGTTCATTCTGCTCAGCAGATTATGGTTTAATTCATCACAATCACATGCTTCAGACTTTGCTGTAACTACTTGGCAGCTCTTATTTGCTGGTATAGTCAAATTTGGTGTTCAAACCTGAAGAGCTCACAAAGCACAGTTGGCCGTGTTAACATCTGTCCTATCGCTTACTTGAGCCCTGTTAAAACACCCTGGTTGTTCTTACTTGAATTTCCCGTGTTCCAGGAAGCATCCAGTTATAATCCAAACGACTTGAGTTTGGAACAATACTTCAATCCCGATGGAACACTCAAATCTGTGATCGACGTCGGTCGTCCGAAATCGATGACAACCAAAGTCAAGACATTCAAGGCCCGTCTGTGGCTCTGTCGAGACTTTCCTCTATCTCTGAAGGATCAGGTCATCCCAATAATCGACCTAATGTCTGAATACAATCCATATTTCCATAAACTGAAAGAATTTTTGACCAAGCAACTACCTGCTGGATTCCCCCTTAAGATTGGTAAGCTCTAAGAAGTGTCCCAAACTATCCTTTTGCACGAATTCCCCATCGTGAAATTGTTTTTAATGGTGTTTAATCAGTTCACTTTGTTGCATCTGTCCTGTCTTTTTTTATACTAAATCCAGGACCTGGGAATTTCGGGCGGCACTACCGACTGTCATTCTTATTTGGTAGCCCATGCATGGTACAGCCCTCTATTCGTTTCACTGAACCAAGTTAAGTAGTAACACGCTTTCGTGGAACGCGTGGGCGAAATCTATTTTTGGTCATATGAACCACGCTGTTATTTCCTTTAAATATCCCGATATTCATGTGATCCAGGATTTTCCGCTGTGTGCCCATTGATTGACTGATTGCTGGTGAACGGTTTTTGGTTCAGCGTTCCGAAAGTTATGGTGTGCCATGCATAGTTTGTTTGTGCGGTAGCCGTATACGAGATTGAGTATTGCCACTAAATCAGTATAGCATAGGAGCTCAAGTCAATATTGTGCTGAAAAATTCGAAATGCACTGAGCAGCTGTCTCATGCTCTCTTCCGCACTTGCACCGCATCACATATGTTGGTAGCCGTCACGAAGAGACTGGACCTTACCGTGGTGTGACGGTTTGCGCACCTCAGCGATCCGTTGAGCTATACTGGAGAGTGTCTCGCGACACTCACAGAGTCTCTCATACCAGGTTGGTCAATGGTTAGAGGTCCGACGAACACAGTCTCCTGGCCCTCCAGGTTGGGGGTTGGAACATGTGGCGACTTGTTCCGTAGAAATGGTAATGCATTAGCATTTCCCTCCAAACACCGCTGCCTTGCGGTTAGGCTTTTGAGCCAAAGGCTTTGGTTGAGGACCCTAATCGTCCTCCTGTCTAGGTGTGGGCGCCCTGGCAGTATCCCAGCCCACGTACAACCATGAATTGCACATACACAAATAAACTCATGCCACATCGGCCGTCGCGTGGTGCCATCAGCCGGGTCGCCTTACTTGCTGCATACAGCAGGGCGGGTAAGCGAAAACAGGCTACTGCTGACGCCTCCCTTATTTCTCCTTCACATGCTTTTTCTTCCACCCTCCCCACTCCATTAATAACTCTCTCCTTGTAGGCCCAGCACTTAGGACTGATGACTCCGTTCGTCATGCATCGGTTTTCCGTGCAGCATCTGCTCGTCACATGGTGCCGACATCTTCAGGAATCTCCAAATCAGTCCTCAAGCCTCGACACCCAGTCTATCTGGCCGCTTTTTCCTTCCAGGATGGGGACCGCGTGATCCTCACTGTGCCTGGTTGGAGACACTACAAGATATGGCTGCCAACCGATGTCAGTGGCGTTCTTGTTGTCAGTTTCTATCCAGATTGCCTGAGTGAATGTCCAGCGGTGTAGGCACCTCGGAATGATTGTGTTAAGCTAGCAATAAGTCCCTTCCCCGTCCACCTTTATTCTTTTCTTTATAATAAGGCTTTCAAATAAGTCATGGTTGTACGGCAGTGAAGCATCGGTGTTGAACACTGATGTCATGCTGTCGATTTTTTTTAATATGTTGGTAGACTTCTTGATACACGAGGCAGTTGGCACTGAACAGGTGCTCCACTCATTAGAAATAATCGTCATTTAGTTGCCTATTAATCACTCAGCCAAATAAGGTTTGTCCGTAGAACTCAGCTAAGCTGAAGGGTCGAATCATCTATTTGGAGCACTCTACGCTAGAAACTACCTTTACCCGCTTTAGTTCTATCTGAACAACCCTCGTGTTCCACCGCTAACGTTCTGGTTAGTCCACACAGAAAGGGGACCTAGTGGACTGCAGTTTTATTCGCATACTTTGCGATCGATGTGCTTTCGACTGTGGCGTTATCACAGCAGTAGCAACCACTAGGCGAGCCGCTCAATAGTTGTCCTGCTTTTTGCATGCTTATACGAGCCGCTGTGTCTCTGAAGTTTTTACACCGAAACATGAACTTTCGTTGAAACATACACGGGATCATTCTTTTCTATTTCCTCACATTTATTTACTCATTTAGAAATTCCCCTCTACCACGTGCTGAATGCCTGCATCTCATTCGGAAATGTCTATGGACAAGACAATGCAGTCTACGGTGTGTCGACCGTACCTCTCAGTGGTGCCAACTCATCACCAGGAGTACGCACATCACACAGCGGCTCAGGTGACATTACAAACCAGCCACTTATCAACTCGTCTAATGGATCGGTTCCTGAGGCAGTGAAGTGTGTCGTGGACGAAAGTGTGTTCGACGTCGGTAAAGGTTATCATATCATCGGTAGGTTGCCGACTGAGTATATCACCTTGTACTTGTAACATCCGCAAGCAGTTTCCGTCCGGTTGGACTTTCGAATTCGAACTAATCTATTCACGCGTTTTTCAATGACACTCCAGAGAGTACAAATCATTAAACACACCAATACGAATACGCAAATATTTGGTCGTGCAGCATTCTGTTCCCAACATCTCTACAAGAGTTAACAGATTCGGCGATACCACCAAATGAGCAATGGCTTTCGGATACCTTACGTGGAAGTTGCGAGCTATTGGATGGTAGGACTGTGCTTTAAAATCAAGCTCTCGCAGCATCACGTCGTTATCCTCTCGCAACACACCTTGAGGTTTAACGTTCCTATAGCTCGTTATTTCTCGTGAGTATCCAACTGAATCATTCGCCGCAGCAGACAGCGCGTCGGAAGATAGATTGTATATCGTATAGATGCAACTATGTGTACACCCGGTGCATGGTGAATGGGTAATAAATGAAATATGCTATCTTGACACACCACACTAGTTATACGGTTAGAGAAAACTCATTGGTGGCGTACAACCGATTTCGTTCCTCTTGAGGCCTACCAGGTTGACGTAGTCCGCGATTTTCCAGCAACCATGTTCTTATTGAGCACCAAATTGTACGCCAGTGGCCGATTGCGTTCCTTCACAGATTACTTTGGTGTTAACGAGAAGCTCAGCTGAATCTTTCGTCTGTGTTCTGTAGCTGATTGTGCTGCTCATGTTTCAGCGGGTACATTATTCGAGATGTCACCGCATATTTTTTAGTTCAACACACCGCGTGTAACATTATTGGAAACTTCTCGACAGTCTACTTTCGGTTTATTTTTGAAGTGGTAGTTGTCCGGAACGGTCTAACAGCTGTGGTTGGAGATTACAGCAGACCATTTTTCTCGTCGCTCTCGTGTAGTCTGTTGACTTCGCCTGTTTGTTGGCTTCATATTTCGATTCTATTGGGACTTACGAGCTCCCTGATTTTGTTGTTATCTAGTGGAAAACTCACCGGGTCATTATGGTGCGTTGGACGAAGAAGAACAAATGGTTCAAATGGCCGTACAGCGCAGTCTGATAGAGTATGGGGCGGCTGAAAACCTCATGCACCGTGGTTACTCGCTGGTATGTTCAACATTGTTCATGCATTTATCGACCTCAGCTACAGTTTGTCTGTTGTCAGTTGAAGGTTTCCTTCCTCAAGGAAGCATGGGTGTCCGTTCGGTCACTTGATGACGTTCGTGGCATAAGGCCACCTTGTGACAACCGCTGCATATTTAATTGGCAGAATTAGTGTACTCTTTCCTTGCGAGTAAGAGCACGGTTATCTCACATAAGCGTTAACATGCGGTTGTCACCAGTTCCTTGTTAGTGTCAACCTAAACACTTCTGCTCATTAACTGGGCTAAGCGAATTTTTTCGTCGACTCAATTTATTGTATTAATTGTTTACTTGCAACTGGCTCAGACTGGATCAGTGTAATATTGTTCACCCCGCTCGCAGTAATGCCACTTCATAATGCTATTGGCGACGGAAATCGTCCAACCCTCTGAATTTGACTTATTATTTGAGTTATTTTTTAAAATCACCTTAGGAGTACTGAACTAAGCCATATTAGACTTGTTTTGGATCCACCGGCCTTTAGAAACCGTTCCGATAGGTGCGGTATTCTTTAGGGTAATAACGTACAAAGTGACATAACCATACTGAGAAATCTTCATCGTGTGCCTGTCATGTCATTTAGTATCCCAGCACTTTGGTGTAGCATAAATTATTCGATGGTCTGCCAAACTAGGTCAACCTTTGTTCAAGGTTTCCCATTCTAGTGCACATGATAACTGTTGTGGAGGCAGGATTTCTTCTTCCATCCCCTTGGATGACCTCGTCTTTTAACTGTTTTGTTTATGCAGCGTAAGCGGAGCATAATCGAGGCCAGAGCGGACGAATATGTGGAACCGGAAGAAGCATGGTTGCAGCAGTAAGTTGCATTTGGCTTTTCTCGCAATTGTGAGTAAAGTGAAAACTTAGGCACATGTGGAGGTGAAAACAAGACAATAATACTCGACCTATGGTTAAGTGCTTTACGGAACGAGTTTATCTTAATTCGTCACGCCCGTTGCCAATAAGTTATGACCAGAGTGACATGAGCCTCTGGTGAGGTGATCTTAGCTGTCACCCAGACTTTTGAAAGGGGCCTCTGCTCAGGGATACTGAGCAACTGTCACACAACCGACAATGAAATAACTTAATGCGAAACCTGAAAAATATAACCGGTCTTAGCTCCATTGGTGCGTTTCATCTGTGAAGTTAGGGAATCAGGAATCAGTTACCTTGCTTTTATTTGTTTTCTACACCAATTCTTCCAACCTTCATCATCCGATGTGAAAACTTGCGGCGACCCAAACCACCACACCAATCCAAAAGGTTCATGGGTGCCAAACTAAACTGAACTGTAAGCTGCTACAGGTTTTGGTTATGCATATGGTCATGCATCCAACAGCATTTGCAAAGAGCACTTTGGTTAGTCGTGCCTTATTTGGTGACAAGCGGACTTATAACACACTCATCATCATCGCTAGAATGACATCAGTGTTCAACACCGATGCTTCGCTGCAGTGCAACCATAATTTATTTGAAAGCCTCATCCTAAAGAAAATAATAAAAGTGGACGAGGAAGGGACTTAATACTAGTTTGCTACAATCATTCCGAGCTGTCCACATCTCCAAACACTCATTCAGGCAATCTGGATAGACACTGACAACACGAACGCCACTGAATTCGATTAGCAGCCATGTTTTTCAGTGTCTCCGACCAGGCGCAGTGGGGATCCCCATTCTGGTAGGCGAGTAGTACCGGCGGCACCTAAACGTTTCTTAGTCTCTTTCATACCCCTCTGTCAAATCAAGGTTTGACCACCTCCCTGCTTCCGCCGCTCTGAATTGGGCATGGAAAACAGCACTCTCTTCGGCAAACGATAGTTAAGCATATCCAACACGTCCCAACCTACACAGCTTCTGACGTTCGACGACTGTCTGATCAACCATCAGTACACACAACCGAGCTACCAAATTGGTAATATTGATAACCTTCGCTTGTCTGTTTGCAACGGTAAAAGGATCGGCTAGAGGGAGACCGCACATTCGCCGTACATTCGTACTCACGCTGAAGCCACTAGGAGAAGCACAGTGACTGATGATATCGAGGACCATTCCTAGCTCTCCTGTCTAGTTGTTCAGGCCAACAATGTCACCGGCGTCATGGACATCTGCGATCCAGATACTAACAGAGCAGCCGAATAACGCATGTATCGTTGCTCAATCATTTAAGTTTGAAAAGCATTGAAAACATCATGCAACCCCACCGCCCCACACACCATCGGCCAACTCGAACGCTGTTGTCCATCATCATCGGTAACATCAGTGTTGGCACAAACACAAAGTTTGTCTAATTATTTTTGAAGCCTTAGAATGAAAAGAAGCGAGAAGAGTATGGGAGGAAACCTGGTGCTGGCCTATCGCAAGCATTTTGAGGTGCGTAAATCACCAAGCGCTCACTCAACTGGTAAAGGAACTGAGAACACTGACATCGACGAGCCGCCATTTCTTGCAATGTCTCCAGCCAAGCGCAGGCGGGGTCGCCCGGATCTCATCCTGGAAGACGTAAAATACCCGAACTTTTCGTAATCTCTTTCACACCCTTCTGCCAAGTCTTACGTTGTGCACCTCACGGTTTGCGCCATTCCGATGGAGGCAAGAACAAAACCGTGGCCGAGTTAATGTAGTCGATGGTTCTGGATGTTTTTCGGAACTGAATTATCTGCTTTTGAGGCGTTGGTGGTCAAAAACATGAAGACACCCTACATCATCTGTCCGTAGAAGCAACGTCTTGCGACTATACAGCATAGCCCTTATAACCTGGTACACGTAACCCTTAAGATCCAGTGATATGCCTATTTGACATCACATATGATGAAAATTAGCAAAGATGATTGGGCCTTTGAGATTCACTTCCTGGCTTCATCAGTTGCATTTACGCCAGAGCTAGTAGAACTACCCAGTTATGTAAAATTATCCACAACTTCCATTGCCTCTCGAACTATTAGAGGTATGTTCAGTGACTGCACTTTCTGAAGCATGAGTGCACTTTGAAGCTGCGAGGCGCATGCCGAATTGTGGTGTGACGGTGTTGAGTTTGTTGAGCAGGATTGTCTTCAAAGATGAAGAGAGTATTTTCTGTATACTGCAGGTCGACAAGGTTCTCAACGGCAACAATCTGAACGCCGGGGTTCTCAAGACCTTCCAGCATTTGCCTCATTATTTCATCAATGAATAATTTGAACAAGAACGGATAGAGTCGGTATCTTCGTCGGACATCACCTATTGTAGGCAAGCTTATACAGAAGTCACCAAGCCCAGAATTCTGAATATAGGTAATGCATTAATTATGTTCACAAACTTATGTGGCATACTCTATTAAGCAAGGGTAGTTAACAGTATCATCACCTTTCAGGATAGTCGGACTCAAGTAGATGATGCGACGAAGATATATATACCAATGGTTTATCACGTCAGCTGCGTGTCACCGTAGGTTTCCCTTTCATGTTTAACCAAAACGGCAGTCTCAGTTAGCACTCCATGCACCGGAAGAAAGGCGCTTCAGTTGAAGAGGCGTGAGACACTGTCAGGGTGTGGACGAAACCGACCCCTGGGTGTTTTTTGTTGCTTTCATGAATTGCTTGGGCGTGTTGCCCTTTGAGTAACTCTGTTCACCATTAATTCCTCCTTTTACCTATTTCACATTGCAGAGCAATTGCAGCAAGCTTGAGTCTCGATGGTGCGGAAATTCCGGTTACCAGTGCAGACGAAGCTTACCTTAAGGTATTAGAGGAATCTCGCCGCGAACAGGAACTTGAAGAGCGACGTCGTCGTCAGGAGGACGAAGAGTTGGCTCGTGTTCTCGAACTTTCCACCAGGGAGAAGTGATTTGCTAGGGCGCTTATACAGTCCGGTCGAATTCATCCCCTCCCCACCAATCCACGTACCCATCAGTATGTCCATATATTTTGTTATGCTAGTTACACATACCGTATACACATATCTTGCAGTCCTGGGATTTTATTCTCCAAAACGTGCAAGTTATCCCCTTGGCCACCAACTGACATCCAACTAATTCATGCATGGAAGTTTCTTCTTAGTGGGGCCACTGACGTGTACCCCGCTCCCCCGGGTTTACCATCTATCTGCCCTGCACACGGAGCCCTCCTGTTACATTAACCCACGATTCACCCTCAGATAATCTGCATTCGTACTCCACTTCCGCATCCTCTTTGTTTTCGTTGACTTTGTTTTCCCACTTATAATTTCCTACTTAGTTGCTTCGTAAGGCCTTCCCTTCGCTGTCCGAAACTGGCCCACTGCACTCTAGTCACTAACACTGTTCAAGCCAGTGCATCATTTTGCTGATCTTTCAGTATTTTCAGGTAATATCTGAGTAGAATACTACCAGCACTGTCCCTTCCAATGTGTCTTTTTCTGTCTGTGAGTTAGGGACTTTGGTAAAACAATGAGTAACGTCAATTCTCGTCTCGTACGGTATGGGTGTGCAACAGTTGAGTTTTGGAAGACCATTACTGTACCGAATACTCCGGGACTTGCAACATAACTCCTCGCAATTGAAAAATGCATCAGACTCCTCAGTCACTTCGCAACTTCACCATATAGGCACACTTTCCTATGACCTACACGTACGACAGGATGGTATTACAAGATGAATTGTGCAGTCAGAGGAATGTCTTGTAGAAGCCAAGCCTATGGCCCGAGCTTGGCACCTGGTTTGACGTCTGCTTCAGATTTCGTAGTACGCGTTGAAGGTGCTGCTCATGTGACGGCGAAATACCAAGTTCGCTAGAAAGATTAACATTCGATGAACACACACCAGCTATTTAGACAATTGCCCGGGCATCTTTGCTGTGACAGCAGTCTATGATTGCTGGTTCTACTTTTATATAATAGGCCTCTGCGTTTAGCAACCATCCCTGGTCTGAAATGGCGCCAACGATATGAAACATTCGCAATGAGCTAAGCAGAAAGCAACGACCAATACCCTATGATATTCGCCCAGTACGAGGTTCATTCCCATTAACCCCCATGACAATCACCTTTTGTCCGCAACTAATTCCCATCCACAAGCATCCAGTATAAACTGACAAAAAAACGAAAACAAACTGCCATCGGGAGGGACAGTGGTTAACTCTCCAGTGCACATTAACCCGAAAAAATAAGCGAACCAAACAGCCGCTATTTTGCTGCCAGACATGGGGGCAATCAGTATCGAGTGGAAGATGAAGACCTGCTTTGACAAGCAGGTTTTAGTATGATGCTTGACTGAACACGCCGGCTCATTAACAATGTCATTCTACTCAGGGGATTTCGCTGCCCTGCTCTTGTAGCGCGTGTATTCGCAGATGCGTTTGTTTCTTGTCGGGATATCGCTTGGCTAGGCGTGAGTTGAGTGCGACCGCTCCACTTGGCGGTCAGTGCCCAATTCGTCTGTTGCATGTTGTGCGTGCGTACAAAGCTGGGTGTTTATCTCTCGGTCGCACATGTGCGATATCTTAGCTGTTTCAACTACAAAAAATACACATCGTCTCCGATAGGCCGACTACTGACAAGAGACACGGAATTCCGCGAAGACATATTGCACTTCGTTCACCAACCAGTTAGGGTATCAGCGTCTATGCGCCGAATAACTGTGCTCAATGCAATTTTTTTTCGAAGTACAAGAGATTCTTGGTTCTGTTATTACCTATAAGGTAAACCAGTCAGCTTTGTCAGGAATTTTGGCACGCCCCATATTTACTCGTCATCTTCGATTCAGGTTCTGCAAGTAGGACCGGTTGCTGCAAGAGGAATCGTCAATGCCGCGCATTTGTACCGATATCCACTACGTAGTTCTGGTTAAGTACACTCAACGAACATTAATATGCAAGGGAAATGCTAGATTAAAGATGCCCAAACACCTAAAACACAGTGGTCTCCCTTCAGCATATATCGCTGAAGTGCAGCTATAAAAATGCTGTTAGTAATCAGCAGCAGCAGGACTGAGTACGCCTAAGACGTCACCGAAAAATGCCTGTTGTCAACCTAACCGAAGCCGATATGCCAGTATACCCTAGGTATAACTCGTTAATTCTGGTCTTTACGAAAGAACCAAAGTGTGGCTGAAGCTCCGTATTAGGAACAGATGTCTGAAGACACTGTCAACCCGTTTAAGCAAGATGTCGCATTTGCGGGAGCCCCTCCAGAAGCGATCACTTAGTTGGTGTAGTTCAGTGGCCAACCACCAGCGAGGACCTTTTAGCTGGTCCTCTCAGGTGGTCTTTCCACCGAGAGGCGACACCAAGTGGAGTTGTACCATCAATTGTGATCCAGTCGCCAAATTGAATTTCTCACGAAAAACTCAACGTGAACTTTCAATAACTTTCACTGCCACTAGGCATAATTATTTTTAGCACAACGGATACCGCTATATGATTCAATGTGATAGTAACACCAATCAGTGAGGGACCTGCGGGAAAGCACAGCGACGGCTTCGCTGAAGGTTCAACAAGTTGCAGTAGTAGATAGACGTTTATTTGTAGTTTATGCCGCTCCTAGCATACCGAAAACCATAGAAATAGAAGAAAAGTCCAAATTCATCATCACAGTGGGTGAACTTGAGTTGAAAAGAGAAACCATGTCACGCCATTTGACGAGCTCCGTAGACTATTGCCTTGTTACTTCGGGTCTTTGTGCAGACTCACATGGGTTTGTGTCTATCACACTAGTCCAATCTGGTAGCGTTTTCTTCTCCAGATAGACAGACCGTTCCAGTGAGCGCCCAGGAAGACATTCAAGAGCGCCGAATATGGCACCTAAATTGTGTGGAAGATGAACGAAGTCTTACAGCAGACTAAGAAAACGTATAAAATGAACGAAAACCACTTTCATCCGGCGGGACAAACCTACATACTGATGCTAGCCTGGAATCCAAATATAGCATAGATTGATTTAACAGTGTGCTGCGCGAGATGTGTAGGCAGTCCAAAGCTTGTTTTTCACGGTGCTTGATAAAACCATGCGCGAATACATGTCCTCTCCTCTTAGAAAACTCCGGTAAATTTAAACAAGAGGTTCGAATAAGTACAATTAAAGAAAAACCGACGTCAGGATACAAACACACAAGCACGTCTTGTAGGATAGTTTTCCTACCAACTAAGCTTTGACGGATGCTGGATCACATCAGATTTATACAGGTAGATCCCAACAGAACGCCTCTTTCTGATGAGGAAAAATGTTGAGTGCCACTGGTGAGTCAGTTGGGCGAACTCTATAACGGAGTAGGCTCCGATAACTAAGTTACTAACGGTTAATCAAGGACTATTTTACATTAACTCACAGATACCGTGCTTATCGCAGGTAAAAAGCAAGGTTTGATCATTCGGCTATAAACAGTGTACCGAGGGTACAGTGGCTTCATCCGCTCAAGTCTTGTCCACCGAGGAATTTCGTGATAGCTCAGTGGTTAGGGGTGAAAGATCCGTGGTGCGAACCCAACCAATACTTCTCGACTGCACTTGGGCCACCGGTCTTCGTGTGGCATGGCAACCAGTCACCGAAAGGGCGTTACAGTTGAACATAGTCCAATGGTCTTGTCCGATAAAGTGTGATGAGTTTACATATGAGAAGACTTACTTTTTGTGAAGACCATCTGGAATACCTCGGATTCCTCCATCCAATGTCCCAAGCAAACCAGCACGGTTATTCAGAGACACCGAACATTTCAGTCCAGTTTGAAGCTCACAAATCATGTACCGAAAATGCAATGCTTCAAGCTGCTACATCTCCGTTCACTGACGATAAGGGGAATAATGGAATCAAAGCCACATATTGGAGGCGGTGGCTCAATCGGTTATCTGGTGATGAATGGTTCTGTCTGGACTATATGGCATTGACTGAGGCCCACAAAGTTAAACCTGTAGACAGCTTTGATGCAAGACTGCTGTTGCCTGCCTGTTACAGTCGAATCTACCACGATCACCAAACATTGATTCTCTTGTTCCACCGTCTCCCATCCTGAGACTGGTTACCAACGGGACTCAATTGACTGGTAGGGGCTTTCATGCTTCGCTGCCAAGTCACAGACTGGCCGACCCTCACTCATCCTCGTCCGATACAAGCCTGCGCGAAGAATCGAGGCAAATTATGTTCTGACAAACGAAGTACGGGACCTAATCAATGTAACTTGTGAAGTCTAACCAGCTGATCCATCGAGGGAGAGTGGAATTTCCCGAAGAACCATCCGACGTACCTCAGCGACGATGTCTCTGATCCATAGAGTAGAACATATCGGACCGCGGATAGCACATTCGCCACCACAAATGTCTGATTTCGGTAAATGCTGCTCTGCCCTTCTCAGTTCTGGAAGCGATATCCTCTTTCGGCAGTACGCATAACCTCAATGTTTAACACTGATACTTCGATGCCGTACAACCATGATTTATTTGAAAGCCTTATTTTGAAAACAATAAAAGTGAACGAAGGGACTTGGTGCTAGCCTACCACAATTATTCCCAGGTGCGTACACTTCCAGACACTCATTCGGGTAATCTGGATAGAAACTGACAACAAAAACGCCACTGATACCGATGAGTAGTCACACCTTGCGGCGCAGTGGGGATCACGCGGTTCACATCCCGGAAGGCGAACCACACTGACAACACCCGGACATTTAGTAATCTCTTTCACACTCCTCCGCTAGGCCAAAGGTTAACCACTTCTCTGCCTCCGCCACTCTGAACTGGGCACGAAAGTCAGCACTCTTCGGCATGCGTAATGCATGGCCTAACCAACACAACTTCTGATGCTGGACACATTCTTCGATGGAATTCCCCGTTGCACAACCGAGCACTCGCTTTCTCATGGCCTGGATACGGATTCTCGGACACTAACGCTAATTGGGTATGGTTCTCAGGCAACGGCTATCGAACATCTGAGAACGCCTCCCAACCTAAAAGCGCTCTCGGGTTTGGCCAACCCTTGCAGCCAAGCGGGTTAGACTACTGAGTCATCGGCCCAGGGCAGGGTCCACAAAGAAAACCCTACTGTCCGCTGCCTTGTGGGTCAGGGTCCCGGAACACAACCCAACATCCACCCACTGTCTCCTGGGTCAGACTTTTGAGTCAGATGCTAGCGCCAGCGTCCCCGAACAGAACCCTACATCATCCTACTGCATTGTGCGTCAAACTTTTGATTCAAGGGCTCGAAGTGGGGTGCCCCAATCAAGTCCCCTTCCTGGGTCTGGGCAACTCGGAAGTATGATTTGCTTGCGCAGTTCTCCCCAACTCCTTCCCACCACATAAACAAACGTCACTAGGTCATTTGACTGTCAGTTGTCTGACCGAAGGGCTTTATGCTCCTCGCTGTCTGTTAACAATAGACAAGATAACCTTTCTAAATGCACGAGATCCTTTGTATATGGGAGCTTTTACCGTCCGCACTATATGTCAAATTGGCAAACAGGCAATGCTTGTTGAAACTTTATACTCCCTTTAAATTGATGGATGCTGTATCTCCGGAACAGGCATACAAGATTCAAGTGTTGTTGTGCATCCCAAAACGTCAAGGATGAATTCAGCTCTTTCAAACTTCTCACTCCCGTGACCCAGAAGCGACGATTCGTGGAATATATGACGTGGGAGTCGCAAACAGCCCCAGAACTAAACGCGCTTTGCTGGATTGGGTCAAGGTGATCAGTCCTCTTTGGGCCATCCAGTTATCCAGCTCAATGAAGATCACTGCCTCTCGGCATAAAAAGCGGTGCCTGTTTGCAGTGTCAGCTTATGCCCCGATGGACTGTAGTTCTGATGCTGAGTAGGATACTTTCTATCGAGAGATATCCGGGCTCATTCATCAAGCAAGAAGCATTGACGTTGTGCTCCCTGCAGGCGATATGAATGCTCCCTGGAATCACATTTTGGCGGTCGATTTGGAGTCGATGCTCGACTCGTTCAGCGAAGTGCTTATCACGAACCATTCCTGGCAAGTGCGGACTTTCAACAAAAACGTTCGCATCACGTGATCTGGCGGATACCAAATGCGAATCAACCGCGGACCCAGTTGGATCACGTGGCCACCGGTGGAGAGTCACAGTTCAAGACTGCCGTTCCTTCCGGGGCACACCACTTGATGGGGGGACGAGATGGCTCAGTGGTTCGGGCACGAATCTACTGATCGGAAGGTCCGTAGTTCGAACCCGACATTTTTCCTCTCGACTTCCCCTGCCTAGGCTTGGGCAACCTGGCAGAACCCCAGCCCTCGTGCTTCCTTCTGGTGGCATGGTAGTTAGGCATCGAAAGGGTACTACAGCTGAACACCACCTGACTTCCATCACGCCATGGTGCGTACACATCTCATAGTTGGCTTTCCTTCAGGCCCTCGCAAGTCAGCAAGGAGCATGCCAATATACTACCTTCAAAGAACTACCATAGCTCAACAGTGTTGTTGCGAGCTAGCCCAAATACTCTCCATAATAAACCAACACTGTGTTGGCAGTGAGCGTGAGGATGAAGTGTGGCAAAATGCTAAAGCAGTTGTGTTAGCGGCGTTCAGTGCTGTCTGTCCGAACTCTCCAATTCGACCACAGGACCACTGGATGTCGGCGAGATCGCTATTCATGAGTGACGCCGGAAAATCCATACCAGCAGGCAACGAACACGACGGCGCACATAAATACTCCCAGAGCTCAGCAGTGAAGAGCCCAAGAAAAGACCGAGAGCTCTGGCGGACACCGAAAGCTCGGGAGATGGAGAATACTTGTGCAATGGAAAACAGCCTTGATCTATACATCAAATGGTACGATCGACTGGCCCTAGGAAAACAACGGTCAGTGAAACGATAAGTGGAGAAGATGGCTCATTAATTCACTCGCAAAGGCGTCGACTGGGAAGGGCCGAACACTTCGAAGAGCAGTTCAGCTGGCCTCCTGCAACACAATCTGTTGAGATAGTGAAGCAGGGCGAATGGAATGAAAACCTTGATCGTTCATCCGAGGAAGAAATAAAGCATGAAATATTCGTCCTAAAACGTGAGAAGGCACTAAGACCGGACCTCTTCAAAGAAGGCGGAGAATCCCTGAGAACCAATCTAACAAAACTAATTGGTGCGATATGGCGTAGAGAGAAAGTGCCTACAGAATGGGGCATGCTGACAGTTATTCAAAAAGGATACGCGGACGCTGTGTGAAGACCACCGTGGCATCAGCATGGTAGCTGTGGCATCAGTGCTCTCTTGTCTTATCCTACCAAGCTTGACTGAACAGAGGGAGAGGCCTATCCGTGCAAACCAAGCTGGGTTCCGTCCTGCAAGAGGATGCATCGATTACATCACCCCGAGAGATTCTGGAACAACGATACTGCTTCCAGTAACCAACATCGGTTGTGTTCCTTGATCTGAAAGCTGCCTTTGACTCTGTGGACCATCATACACTATGGCAGTGCCTGTGGAGCAAAAGTACCCCCCATAAATTCTTGACACTCCTTAAGGTGCTGCACGCAAAATTCCGCGGCCGTATAAAGGTCTACGGGAAGCTCTCTTTTGAGTTCACCACATCAAGAGGTGAAACAGGGCTGTTCTAATTCACCTTCCCTCTTCAACTTCGTCATTGACACGACCATCGAAGATTCACTGTCAGCCTCTAATGCCTGTGTGGTCGAAGTGCTCCCGAGGCGTTCACTCACAGATATCGAGTACGCATACCACCGACCTGGTGGTAACGCAAACAATATTAAATAACCCAAATAATTACGCTTCACGGTTCATCATGCGCTTCAAACCACAAAGTGTGGAGCACTACTGAAGGAATGGATGGGCTCGGAACCTAACCTCATGCTTGCAGATGAACCGATTGAGATAGTACACAACTTGTTTACCTGGGTAGCTATATCAGTCTCATTGGTCTCGCGAAAGATGATATTTCCATCCGGATTGAAAAAGGCCACAGCAGCTTTTTTTTGACCTGTGTAGGTGTGACATCAGCTTAACCGTCGATGGTCGAGTTTACAATGCTGCGGTGCGCTCCATTTTACTATACGGATCAGAAATGTGGCTGCTGCGCGCCGAGGACGTCAAAAAACTTTCAGTATTTGACCATCAATTTCTTCGGGGCATTACCCGAGTCTGCTGGGAACATCGGATAAGTACGCCGAATGGTATCCTGAAGAAATAACTCACCTACGACAGCTGGGCTGATACACTGCATAGGTCGCGCTGGCTTGGTCACATGCTGCGTATGCCGGTCAACTGATCTACTCAAAGGGTTCTTTTCGCACAGCCACGTGAAGGGTGGCAACTAGCCTCGAGTGGTCAAACAATGACTTGGCAGCTAAGTATAAAAGCCAATGCCAGCAAACTCAACTGCACTGGTCACTGCCGTCTTCCTGGATGGCGACCCCGAGAAGGGGGACATCAATGGTTCGAGGCATTGCCAGACATGGTCCAGTCGCGCCGTCAGTGGTACTCGTGTATCTAAACTGTTGCCTTCGGTGCACAGCTCCCTTCCCAATCCCTCCACCAAAGTCCAGTCAGCGAAATCCAGTAGTTTGCGAACAAATTTGGTTTTACGAGACTCACCTGGAACCCAGCTGGATCTCTCGTTTATGATGTTTTTAAGGAACTGAATGTGCCGAACCAGACCACCTCATGTTTCAGTTGTTATGATATTCGAGATGTCACGTTACATGTATAGACGTAATAAACTACGCATAACGTTGCTGAAAACTCTTCGACATCCCACGACCGGTTTCGCCCTTATTGGCGCTAATCAGGTAGGCGCAGTCCTCGAGTTTCCGTCAACCTTATGTCCCAATGGAGGCCAAATTGCATGAACATAAAGTTGAGGGAAACTCGGGGACTGCGCCTACCGGATAAGTCGATTCTCGACTCCTTCAGCGAAGTGCTTATCACGAACCGTTGCTGGCAAGTGCGGACTTTCAACAAAAACGTTCGCATCACGTGATCTGGCGGATACCAAATGCGAATCAACCGCGGACCCAGTTGGATCACGTGGCCACCGGTGGAGAGTCACAGTTCAAGACTGCCGTTCCTTCCGGGGCACACCACTTGATGGGGGGACGAGATGGCTCAGTGGTTCGGGCACGAATCTACTGATCGGAAGGTCCGTAGTTCGAACCCGACATTTTTCCTCTCGACTTCCCCTGCCTAGGCTTGGGCAACCTGGCAGAACCCCAGCCCTCGTGCTTCCTTCTGGTGGCATGGTAGTTAGGCATCGAAAGGGTACTACAGCTGAACACCACCTGACTTCCATCACGCCATGGTGCGTACACATCTCATAGTTGGCTTTCCTTCAGGCCCTCGTAAGTCAGCAAGGAGCATGCCAATATACTACCTTCAAAGAACTACCATAGCTCAACAGTGTTGTTGCGAGCTAGCCCAAATACTCTCCATAATAAACCAACACTGTGTTGGCAGTGAGCGTGAGGATGAAGTGTGGCAAAATGCTAAAGCAGTTGTGTTAGCGGCGTTCAGTGCTGTCTGTCCGAACTCTCCAATTCGACCACAGGACCACTGGATGTCGGCGAGATCGCTATTCATGAGTGACGCCGGAAAATCCATACCAGCAGGCAACGAACACGACGGCGCACATAAATACTCCCAGAGCTCAGCAGTGAAGAGCCCAAGAAAAGACCGAGAGCTCTGGCGGACACCGAAAGCTCGGGAGATGGAGAATACTTGTGCAATGGAAAACAGCCTTGATCTATACATCAAATGGTACGATCGACTGGCCCTAGGAAAACAACGGTCAGTGAAACGATAAGTGGAGAAGATGGCTCATTAATTCACTCGCAAAGGCGTCGACTGGGAAGGGCCGAACACTTCGAAGAGCAGTTCAGCTGGCCTCCTGCAACACAATCTGTTGAGATAGTGAAGCAGGGCGAATGGAATGAAAACCTTGATCGTTCATCCGAGGAAGAAATAAAGCATGAAATATTCGTCCTAAAACGTGAGAAGGCACTAAGACCGGACCTCTTCAAAGAAGGTGGAGAATCCCTGAGAACCAATCTAACAAAACTAATTGGTGCGATATGGCGTAGAGAGAAAGTGCCTACAGAATGGGGCATGCTGACAGTTATTCAAAAAGGATACGCGGACGCTGTGTGAAGACCACCGTGGCATCAGCATGGTAGCTGTGGCATCAGTGCTCTCTTGTCTTATCCTACCAAGCTTGACTGAACAGAGGGAGAGGCCTATCCGTGCAAACCAAGCTGGGTTCCGTCCTGCAAGAGGATGCATCGATTACATCACCCCGAGAGATTCTGGAACAACGATACTGCTTCCAGTAACCAACATCGGTTGTGTTCCTTGATCTGAAAGCTGCCTTTGACTCTGTGGACCATCATACACTATGGCAGTGCCTGTGGAGCAAAAGTACCCCCCATAAATTCTTGACACTCCTTAAGGTGCTGCACGCAAAATTCCGCGGCCGTATAAAGGTCTACGGGAAGCTCTCTTTTGAGTTCACCACATCAAGAGGTGAAACAGGGCTGTTCTAATTCACCTTCCCTCTTCAACTTCGTCATTGACACGACCATCGAAGATTCACTGTCAGCCTCTAATGCCTGTGTGGTCGAAGTGCTCCCGAGGCGTTCACTCACAGATATCGAGTACGCATACCACCGACCTGGTGGTAACGCAAACAATATTAAATAACCCAAATAATTACGCTTCACGGTTCATCATGCGCTTCAAACCACAAAGTGTGGAGCACTACTGAAGGAATGGATGGGCTCGGAACCTAACCTCATGCTTGCAGATGAACCGATTGAGATAGTACACAACTTGTTTACCTGGGTAGCTATATCAGTCTCATTGGTCTCGCGAAAGATGATATTTCCATCCGGATTGAAAAAGGCCACAGCAGCTTTTTTTTGACCTGTGTAGGTGTGACATCAGCTTAACCGTCGATGGTCGAGTTTACAATGCTGCGGTGCGCTCCATTTTACTATACGGATCAGAAATGTGGCTGCTGCGCGCCGAGGACGTCAAAAAACTTTCAGTATTTGACCATCAATTTCTTCGGGGCATTACCCGAGTCTGCTGGGAACATCGGATAAGTACGCCGAATGGTATCCTGAAGAAATAACTCACCTACGACAGCTGGGCTGATACACTGCATAGGTCGCGCTGGCTTGGTCACATGCTGCGTATGCCGGTCAACTGATCTACTCAAAGGGTTCTTTTCGCACAGCCACGTGAAGGGTGGCAACTAGCCTCGAGTGGTCAAACAATGACTTGGCAGCTAAGTATAAAAGCCAATGCCACAAAACTCAACTGCACTGGTCACTGCCGTCTTCCTGGATGGCGACCCCGAGAAGGGGGACATCAATGGTTCGAGGCATTGCCGACATGGGTCCAGTCGCGCCGTCAGTGGTACTCGTGTATCTAAACTGTTGCCTTCGGTGCACAGCTCCCTTCCCAATCCCTCCACCAAAGTCCAGTCAGCGAAATCCAGTAGTTTGCGAACAAATTTGGTTTTACGAGACTCACCTGGAACCCAGCTGGATCTCTCGTTTATGATGTTTTTAAGGAACTGAATGTGCCGAACCAGACCACCTCATGTCTCAGTTGTTATGATATTCGAGATGTCACGTTACATGTATAGACGTAATAAACTACGCATAACGTTGCTGAAAACTCTTCGACATCCCACGACCGGTTTCGCCCTTATTGGCGCTAATCAGGTAGGCGCAGTCCTCGAGTTTCCGTCAACCTTATGTCCCAATGGAGGCCAAATTGCATGAACATAAAGTTGAGGGAAACTCGGGGACTGCGCCTACCGGATAAGCCCCAAGAAGGGCGAAACCGGTTGTTCCATAACCTGATATCATATTCCGTTTACTTATACTAGTGTGGAGAATTCACCTTCGCGGTGAAATAACCTCAACTTGAAAAGACGATGTTTGGATATTGCGTTAGGACAACTTTCATAAGAAGACACAAGCCCAGTCAGGGGGCAAGTGACGGTCACTCAGTCCTTGTAGAGGATATACGGTCACTTCATCAGACCACTGAAGAGAGAAGCCTGGTGTCTGACATGTAGGCCCTGATGTTGGAACCAGATCTGTTATCAGCATCTAATAACCTAGAAATTAAAAACAAATAGTTCAGCTGTATCTCCCTTTCGGTGCCTAGCTGTTTTGCCAACGGAAGGAAGCACGAAGGAACTGCTACATTATCCAAGCCTAGACAGGAGCAGTCGAGATGCTGAGCTTGGGTTCGAACCACAAACCTTCAGGTCCTTAAGCTTGTACCTTAACAACTGAGCTACCTCAAGCCCAATGAACTAGAAGCTGAGAGCATGGCAAAAAATGCGCCATTCCGAACCTTACCTACTTTTGTCTTGCAGCTGGAACTCTGATTGTAGGCAAATAGCAAATGCATGGCGGTGTGCACTAGCACGGAACGTATGCAGGGAAACAAAGAGCTGTCGCGAAAGAAGGGCGAATGTAACTGTATCAGACGGTAGTGGAGGAAATCAGGAGACATTCCAAGGTGAAATGAAATCTACCGGATCACTTACCCCCAAGCCAGGCCACATAATTTGGTTCAGCAGGAGGTTGGTGAATGCGGAAGGTGCCCTTGAGCGCTCGCAAGTTGCTAAACTCATCCCACTCTAGAAAAGAGTCCAATTCTTCCAAAAGACGAGAAGCAAATCCGGGGATATTAACTGTGCCACCAATGAGAATGATGTTGGCTGCCAGGGTTCTGTGATTCAGATGCAACCAATAACAAGCCAACATGTAAACAACCCGGATTCTACAGCGTTGGAACAGCTAGCTGGTTGTGGGGGACATTCAACACGCGAGAAGTCCGTAGAGCACCACTAAAATAAGTCTATAACTCATTGTATCACAGTGATATTCAGAAAAATCTTAGGGTTATAAAATGATAGGCGGAGATTGAAGAATCAGGAAACAAGCTAGTCCTGGTTAAATTGATAGATACAATCACTAAACCACTCGCCCAGTTTGCAGAGAGACGTCAGCTACAACGCCTAGTAAAGCAAATGACCCTTGGAACAATTCCACTGTACCAAGTGCACAAGGTATCACTGAGGCGCACAGTGAAGCGGACCATCAAGAAAACCAATAGTCCCTAATATGTGAACAATAATTCACCTCTGTTGTGACACGTCTGTGTGACAGGAATACAGTTTGAATTCCATAGCGATTCTGCATAAGCTGAATTCAGGAGGAAGAGTCTAGGCGCATGTCGTACAGAATTCTATAGTGATAATGAAAACTTGATTGCTTTTTCGTCGGCGGACTAGTAATATACCACAAATTAACAACGCCAGAAGCAGAAAGTAAGTGAGCCCAGAGTTACAAATTTCGGTGTTAATACCAGTATGTTGGCCCAAACATCATGTATTAGGCAATTATCCTGAGTTGAAGAGCATTTAGAACAGTCTAACCTAACTCCTAAGCGGATAAACGACCAGAAAATACGAGAAATCAACGGACGTTAGTCCCACAACCTAAGTTTGACAACTATTGGCTTACCTACGAATATCAACGGGACAAGTGATAAATGACTTTAGCAAGAGTGATGCCAGTGTGATTCGGTCGTTATCACCCCGAAACAAGCACTCAACAGCCAATTCTCGGAGTCTGGATGGCACTTGAAGTCGTTTGTTAACTTGTAGATTATTCAAAGGATAAACAAAATGTTCCTCTGCCACCTTTGGTTCAGCCACTTCATCATCATCAGTAGTATTCAGTTGAGCACTCGACCATCTATCCCATTGTTCAGCTCTCTGGGAAGGACTCACAAAACAAGTACGAGCTGTGAAAGGAGTTCAAGATGAATAAATGGCTGCAAAGCATACCAACTAAATCTTCCAGTACCTCCCTGGTAAGCATAGTTTCTGTGAAAAAGCAAAATGTAAAAATGGGATATCACAACCAACCAGTGTCAGGTTGCTCGGCCAGGGCACAAGTTTGACCATGTTCTTCAACTAGAAGCGCATCCCGATGCAACAGGGATTTCATGTTTCTACACAAAAAAATATTGCACTGTGAACTTACGCATAAACTGTCTCGCTGCCAAGCTGAGCAGCCTGCCATGCGTTCAGCAGAGTATAGCCTTCAGACACCTGTTGCGGTGGCACATTACACCAACCTGTGGTAAACCTACTGGTACGACGACTGCTTCTTTATAACCACAATCTAACACAAGTCCTGAGGACAAGCCCAAGGTGAACAGAGTGACCAAGTGTGCAGGAGCGAATAAGGCGGAAGGAATCTAGGGTTTCAACTCACTGCTCTGTAAAACGCAGTTACCTCAAAATGGTTGTATAGCACGTCGGCTAGTAGCTCACGGAACTCTGTAGTGCAGAGTATGCTTTCCACCACAACAACCCGTCTGTCTTTTGGATTGACCAGTAAGTGCCTTTTGGACAGATGAAACGAAACGTTGCTGATTCACTTACCGGTAGTACAACTGATGCAGAAAAACTGTCAGAAACTTCCGCTTCTCTTTTGCTGTTTTCAACGATAGGAAATGTTTTACTTGTCCATTGGGCTAGGTAAGATGCAATAATCCAGAGGAGAAATGAGAGCCAACCTGGGTTATCTCAGTTGGGAAAATGAAACGCGGTCCAGTCTCGCCTGCGAAACCACACCTGCAAGATGTTCATTAGGAGAAAAATAGACTGTACTTCGTATATACCGAACCGATGTCGAAAACCACGGCCGTCTTCTCTCCCAAAATCAAGGATTCGAACCCAGGCATATTACCAGCTCACATGCACGGGGTCAGTTCTGTAGTAAAAAGAACAAGTGTTACAAAGTGTTACGTTCCAGTAACGGCAAATTAATAAGTGCCTACTTCTGTACTCATACCGTTACCGTTTGAACACTCTTTCTGTCCTGGTACAATTACTCCGGTTAGTTCGCCACAAAACGACTAAGCACTGGGTTTGCATTTTGCATTCAGGAGGACTCAACAGTGGTGCGTGCCGCGCCGGGATTTGAACTCCAAGTATCTGGTACATGGGGCAAGCGTGTTAACAATACTGGTGCGTGAACACTGCATTGTCAGTGGACTGTCGATTGGGGGATTGGGAAGGGATATATGCATTGATGGCGACAGCTTGGATGCACGAGCGCCATTGAGGACGTGACTGGGCCATGTCTCACAATGTCTTTAGCCATTGATGTGGCTCGTCTCGGGGTCCCCATCTAGGAAGACGGCAATGACCAGCGCAGCTGTTTGCTGGTAATGGCCTACATACTTCGCTGCCAAGTCATTATTTGACCGCCTCTGGCTCTCTTGCAACCTTCACATGGTTGGGCGAAAAGAGCCCTTCGAGGAAGTCGGTCGACTGGTATACGCAGCACGTGGCCAAGCCAACGCAACCTGTGCAGTGTGATCAGTTCATCTATCGAGGGTGAGTTATTTCTCCCAAATGCCATTCGACGTACTTCAGAATTGCTGATCCGGTGTTCCCACCAGATTCGGGCAATGCTCCGAAGACATCGATGGTCAAACACTGAAAGTCTTTTGACGTCCTCGGCGCGTAGCGGCCAGGTTGCTGATCCATATAGTAATATGAAGCGCACCGCAGCATTGTAAACTCGACCCTGTGAACGAATTGGAATTATTGCGTCGGAACAACGGGAAAGATTTCACGTCTGATAGACGTGTCTGAAAGAAGCTGCAAACGACGAATCTTCTCCACTCCGAACAAACCGATACGCCCAACCTCGCCACCCTGTGTTTGTTGTATTCGGTCCCAAATGATCACGATCTCATGCAACCTTGGCTTGATGATAGAACAATCAACAAAACTTGCACTTTGGACGTGGTCTAATGCGAACTAAAGCAGCATTATCAATACTGGAAATATCAAGCCTTACATATCCTTCGATACAGTGAACCTAATTCTCCAGATGCGAACAAAACTGGCAAGGTAAACCACTTAACTGCTGAGGTCATCAGACAATTAACCAACATGCAGATTTAGATGCGTTTTTACGATAAATCAAAGACAAATGTAGAAATCTAACAGCAGGGAGAATCGGAAGTAAACAAAAATGAGGCACCAAAACGTGTTTAACTTTTCAAGATCACTCGACGTCGAAAGCAGCAATCTGAGTTTTGATCTATATTTCTGTGAAGAAGCTAACATACGGAGCAACGTTTAGGTGATTGACAACTACCAAAATCGGAGGAACTTGAATGATTCCTCTCAGTTTCCAAGGCCAAAGAGGATTCGGCTCACAATTTTGAGTCAGAAGGCAGTGAAAGGAGGCTCAGTAACGTTCGGAAGCCTTCCTCATAGCCTGACTCAAGAGTCTGAACTGTAAGACAGTGATTGTCGGGGTTTTATTGAGGGGCCCCTCTCAGAGAGAACGACTCAGGTCTAACCTACCTGTGTGCAAACAGCTGGCCCAACACATTGATGTCGGACTCCAAATGTGGCTTCATCTGGTAAATGGCACCAGACTCACTGGTTCTAAGTATGCTTCAACAATACTGACCAACGGTTGAGTGTGCCGTTTTTAAGACGGTGTTTTCTAACCCACTCTGCCGAAAAAAGAAGAATTGCTGATTCCATATTTACATAAACGCCAACTATCGGTGCGGGGGCTGGCTATTCTCCGTCCCTACTTGATTCAATTCAATTCAATTTATCAACTATGAACCGTGTGCCATAGGCACATTGGTTCCAGCTGCTACAATTTCGATCACCGGAAAACGGTAAAGTGAAACATACAACCAAACCTTGGAGGCGAAGGCATGCTCAGTTTGTTCCGAAACGGGGTAGCTACGAATTGAAGGCGACAGCTTTGATGCACGAGCACCACTGACTGTGTGATTGGGACATTTTCGTCTATGTCATTAACTGCTGGTGATTTGAGTCCAGGGGTCCCCATCCAGGAAGGCGGCAGTTGCCCACCCGACTAAGATCATTGTGTTTTCGTATTTCGTTGCCAGGTCATATGCCCTCCACGCCTCGGTCGCTTCCACTCAGTACAGAGCTGGGAAAAAAATGTCTGAGGCAGACGGTCATCTGGTGTACGGAGTATATGTCCCAACCAGTGCAACCTATGAAGCGTGAGTAATTCATCTATCACGGGAGAGTTCCTTCTTCCTAAGGCCATCTGGCGTACCTCAGAATTACTAATCCGATGTTCCCACCAGACCTGACCAATGCCTCGGGGACACCGAGGATCAAACACTGATATCTTCCGTATGTCCTCTACGCGTAGGGGCCATGTCTCTGTACCATGAAGCAGTATGGATCGCACCACCGCAGTGTAAACTCTTCTCTTGACGAACTCAAGTCACTTCGGTGCCGTAGGTGCCCAGATCAACAGAATCAAATCAGTTTTCAAATCCAGAGAAACGACCACCGTGGGACGTCTGTGGGAGTGGCGCTGTTCGAGAAGTTGTCTCAAGGTAAAGATATAGTGGATGCATTCTCGACCAGGTCGAAACCCAGCTTGATTTTTATGAGTCTGTCTCTATTGGTAATCCATCAATCTGCGAAAAATAATGCCAGCGAACACCTTAGATGCGACGGACACCAGGCTGATACCACAATGGTTTTCGCATGACGTTCTTGCTTCCTTTTTGAAAACTGGGATGACGTTCGAGGAGCTCCGTTCTGGTATTCTGTTTCCGTTCCAAATCTTCCGCAGTATATTTGTCAAACTGTTCACCAGGACCTCCCCACCTTCTTTGTAGAGCACGGGGTGTACACCATTCGGGCCAAGTGTCTTGTTGCGTTTCAGGATTGAAAATTCACATTGGACTTCGGTTGCTGATGGTGGGTTGGAGTTAATATTCCATTCGGGCCCGCTTGGTTCTTCCGGCGGTTGTGTTGAAGGAGACCAGGTGAACTGTTCATAAAAGTTCTCAGCCCGCCGTTCAAGACGGCGATTGAGGGAATGAATTGTTGTGCCGTCTTTTTCGCATATTGTCTCACTGACACCTGCCTTCTTTTGACCCGTTGATCGAACCAGTTGAAACAGGGTATGGGTGCCTGCAACGAAAGACCTCCTCGTCTCCTGGGTCTTCGAAACCCACCAGCGTTGTCATTCTTTAAGCTCCTGATTATCCGGTGTTTGATGGATCTGCGTGCGCCATCATATTCGCAAATTTCTGATATGGCCTTCTTGGCAGCAATAACAGCTGCTGATCTCGAAGATATCCAGTGTTCACTGAGTTGAGACAGATGGAGAAGCAGTTCTGGAAGCTGACAGCATTGCTTCTTCAACTCACTTCCATCCATCCTCCAAGCAATCTTCGTCGTCCACATTACTGTGCGTTCTTAGTAGCTTTCTAGCCAGATTACCTCGATACGCTTCAGCCACTGAAAATTGTCGAAGTTGATGGACGGAGCTGCTCTCTTTCGGTACGCGCAGTGCTGGCGGGCCCTCACGATGAAGGAATCAGAGTAAAGTTGCGTACGCCAGAAGGAACGACAATCCTTAACTGGTGGTCTCCATCGGTAACTGATAGTCATATGGTCCAGTTGAGTCCACGACTGTCTTGTGGTAGGTGGCCTCCAAGTACCTCGGTGTGAGCGTTTGTGTTGGAAGTTCGTATTGGCCAGGAAAAGACGATCTGCACACAAATGAAGAAGCCGATCTCCATTATCCGTACGCTCAGCAGTGACTCTAAATTGACCACCTAACTATGCTTCTTCCGGATTTAGTCGTCCAATTTAGGCATTCATATTACCTGCCCGGATTACTATATCCGTCCTTCTTGCCGAACTGAGCAATCGTGACTGATCCTGATAAAACTCGTCCTTCTCAGTCTCAGAACTGCTACCTGTTGGGGCGCATGCTGATACGACAAACAAAAACCGTTTACCACATCGACCTGTGTTAATCTAAGTTGAGCCGGACACGAAAAGACGACTGTTTACCGAGATATAGTCCAGTAGGGTGCTTCAAACTTGGGGCTGAGCGCAGCTCCCACACCGTAGACATCAGGAGTCGTCAGGAGCACCGAATGCCTGAAGAGCGAAATGCAGAAGATCCGGGCTCGTCCTAAGCGACTTGAGCAGCACGACCGAAGTGGGGTCTTATATGAGTTGAATAACAGCTAT